ATACGACACACATACACTCATACGACACACATACACTCATACGACACACATACACTCATACGACACACATACACTCATACGACACACACATACACTCGCACGACACACATACACTTATAAGACGCACATACACTCATACGACACACATACACTCACACGACACACATACACTTATACGACACACATACACTCATAAGACACACATACTCTCTTAAGACACACATACACTCATACGACACACATACACTCTAACGACACACATACACTCATACGACACACATACACTCATACGACACTCATACACTCAGACGACACACATACACTCATACCACACACACATACGCTCATACGACACACATACACTCATACGACACACGTACACTCTAACGACACACATACACTCATACGACACACATACACTCATACGACACACATACAATCATACGACACACATACACTCATACGACACACATACACTCACACGACACACATACACTCATACGACACACATACACTCATACGAAACATATGGCCTCGAATGAAACATATACATTTCAACGACTCAGACCATTCATACGAAACAAATACATTTCTACAACTCAGACCATTCATAAGAAACACATATATTTCTACGACTCAGACCACTGATCGAAACACATATATTTCTACGACTCAGACCACTCATATGAAACACATATATTTCTACGACTCAGACCATTCATATGAAACACATATATTTCTACGACTCAGACCACTCATATGAAACACATATATTTCTACGACTCAGACCACTCATATGAAACACATACATTTCTACGACTCAGACCACTCATACGAAACACATACATTTCTACGACTCAGACCGCTCATACGAAACACATACATTCATACGACTTACTCATGCACTCATGTACGGCTCACATACGCTGACATGTATTGCACTTATACTTAGAGACAGTGTAACTGACTATCAGACCAGCCAGGTCCAAATCAGGCGTTATCTGACTGCATCCATTTGCAGTGCAACGTACAGTCCCGACGTGTAGCCTGCTCTCGCCATCACATGGTCATATCGGCGACCTTTAGACAATCACCATCTCAGGGGTGTGACGAACCAAGATGGCTAACAATAGGAGACACACCGCCAGGTAAGAAAGTGCACCTGTTTTACCTGTCCATCATTGACTGCTGTGGTGAAGGAAAAACAGCAGTTTAAAGGTAACAAGTTAAGAACGGAGTATCCATCTTGTGAATGGTGGGATGAGCATTAAACAGCCATCGTCCACAGAGCAACGTATCTGATGCTTGGAGTCGTTTCACAGCATTGCTTCTTACACAGATTCGTCGTCCAGATTCGATCCGTGTATGTTTCCAAGTTTTCCAGAATACCCGTGTTCGAGGGTAGACGTGGTAACAGTGTAGGGCTTGCAACACTCTGGCGTTATACCGAACCAAGCTGACACGCCGTGACAAAACTGAAGTTTGTGTTCAAAGTAGCGTTGAGTCCATCTCACTCACTCACGAGCACACACATCAACGTGCTTGGTGGGTGTGTTCTAACATAATACGTCGTCAAACATAAGTTGTAAAACACGTATAGCTCACCATGTAAAATATTACTAAGAATTAATCGGGCGGGATTATGTGACAGTGAGTGAGTGAGATATTATGGTTTTACGCCGCTTTTAGCTATATTCCAGCAATATCTCGGCGGGGGACACCAGAAATGGGATTCACACACTGTGCCCATGTCGGGAATCGAACCCGGGTCTTCGACGTGACGAGAGAACGCTTTTACCACTAGGCTACCCGACCGCCCCGGTTTACGTAACAGGTCATGTCAATATTTATGTTACAGACCGTTCTAGGAGTTCTGTCACAGGCAATTGTAAGTAAGCTTGTCCTAAGCTGAGCATCCTTATATATCAGGTTTGTACACGACTTCTTGACTAAAGTCACGTCGTGTGTTGTTTGTGTGTCGTACATTTATAGTCCAATCTTGAAATCAGTTAGTTTATGTCGGAAGTACTCCAACACAGACCACGCGCCCAAACCTTGTACTGAAGATCTTTGGGCTTAACGACGTGCTACCGATAATAACGGTATACAATGACCCGGTTAGCCAAGGAACTGATTAGTGCTACGCGTCCATATGTCTTGATATCGTGACTCTATTCGTGACATTTTAGAAGCTGTAATATCAGTGGATACAGAGCTGCTGTGTACCAACAGATACATGGCCTGCCCATGGGATCCCCAATTGCTTCATTAATCTCTGGTAGCTACATGATCCACTTTGAACGAACCGCCTTACCGTTAGCCTCCATGTGTTGGTACAGAAAAGTACGTGAGTGAGTTGGATCTAACGAGGCTATTAATTCCGTCACGTATATCACGGGGAGACTGTGAGTTTTAGAGAGGGGCGATATACATTGAGTTTCTCTAAATGGTTTCCTTGTATGTGAGAAGTATGACCCAAAACAATCCTATGTTTTCAGAACACATATACCCCCTCTAAAGACAAGATCAGAACAAACAACAACAAAATATAAACTAAGGAAAAAACAAGAACAAGAGCCCGAAGCAAAACACGTATATGCACGCACACACATGCTCACGCACGCACACGCACACGCACACGCACACACACACACACACACACACACACAGGGGCGTAAACACAAACGCACGAACGCAAGCACACACGCGTACCAAGCACGCTCCCACACACTAATTGTTGCACACACACATGCGCCCACAGACACACACACGCAGAGGCATACACATACTGAAGCATGCGCACAGCTACCCACGCGCGCGCACACACACATACACACACACGCTTACACAGAGAGTGAAAGAGAAAAGAGAGAGAGACACAAACACACACAAACATACACACACAAACACACGCATACACACAAACACACTCACACAAACACACACACACAAACACACACACACAAACACACACAAACACACAAACACACACACACACATTATTGCTATCCACTCACAGAAGTGTTCTGTTGCAGGTCACTCACAATGAGATTCTCCATCATTGTCGTCGTGGCGATGTATGCAGTCGCTGTAGCAGCTGTGGGAGAAGATACAAGTGTTTGTTCTCAAGCTAATTTTTCAGCGAGGGCACAACAAATTCCTCAAGGTGAACATTCGTTTTATTATCCACACCTCTGGGAATCGGTCCCATGGAATATGGTTATGGCATGGATTGTTGCCGTAGGATCTGATTTGGCGAATGTGTGTCATCGTTTCCCAACAGCTCCTGACATCACTCAGAGGTTTATCTGGACCAATTATTAACAGACTGCCCTGACATAGATGAGATTTTGCTGAATGCCGTGTAGAGGTTTCATTTCCTCGTATTTTTCATTGAGCCTTTTTTCGAAATTAATGTTCAAGGAATTATATTTGAAGAAACATCGTTTCGAAACTTCATGACATAAAAATATGTAGCAATTGTCTAAAAATAAGACAGTACTTGAAAGAAATCAAAACACGTGTGACTGAGGGAGTTTCTTTGAAAGATATCATTACGAGTTACGCCCTTTTGCAAAGTATTTTGATGAGATACAGAAATGATCCGTAATAAAACTTGGTATCTTTTGCTTTCTCAATCCCAAATTTCGAAAAAGCATGCCATTCGGAAACCGCTTTAAGAGTATATCTCATGCTTGGTCAGTACTTGACAGAACAATTCAACTTGTTTTGCTTCACATTTTACTAGCCTCAGGTGACCTTACTTGACCCTTAGCTCTTCAGGCAGGCTGCCACCCTCCTTCACAAAGCCATTTTAGTTTCCGTTACCTTGGAAGCAATCCTTTGATGACGTCACAGCATTACGTCACAATCACGACGTCACAGCATTACAGAGTGCACGTATGTTTATCTCCTTAAAGAATTATCTCACGCAGGTGAATAATTGCCCAGATTTGTGTCAGTGTGATGACGAACTTTATCTTGTAGGCCCCAAGAAGCCGACGTTGCCACCACAATACAGAGTGCGTATCGAGGGTAACATCATCGAATCCAACTACACCCAGGACATTCATGAATATTTTGATTCCGTCAACAACATGGGCGCGGCCCACGAGTGGATCAATGGCGTCGAAACGAACATGCTGTTCCTGTATCCGACGGGGGAACTCATCACATTACAGTATGACGGTTCAGGTAATATTGTTATCAGTTATCTCCCTTGAGTCCTGTATGCATCATGACAATACAGGAATAGTTATTTCCCTTTAGCCATGTATACATCATGACAATACCGGAGTAGCTATCTCCCTTGAGTCTTGTTTACATAATGACAATGCAGGAAGAGTTATCTCCCTTGAGTCCTGTATACAACATGGCAATTCAGGAATAATTATCTCCCTTGAGTCCTGTAGACAACATGGCAATACAGGAATAGTTATCTCCCTTGAGTCCTGTATACAACATGTCAATATAGGAATAGTTATCCCCCTTGAGTCCTGTATACAACATGGCAATATAGGAATAGTTATCTCCCTTGAGTCCTGTATACAACATGGCAATATAGGAATAGTTATCTCCCTTGATTCCTGTATACAACATGGCAATATAGGAATAGTTATCTCCCTTGAGTCCTGTACAACATGGCAATACAGGAATAGTTATCTCCCTTGAGTCCTGTATACAACATAGCAATACGGGAATAGTTATTTCCCTTGAGTCTTGTATACAACATGACAATACAGGAATAGTTATCTCCCTTGAGTCCTGCATGCAACATGGCAATACGGGAATAGTTATGTCCCTTGAGTCTTGTATACAACATGGCAATACAGGAATATTTATCACCCTTGAGTCTTGTATATAATATGGCAATACAGGAATTAATATCTCCCTTGAGTCTCGTATACAACATGGCAATACAGGAATATTTATCTCCCTTGAGTCCTGTATACAACATGGCAATACAGGAATAGTTATCTCCCTTGAGTCCTGTTTACAACATGACAATACAGGAATAGTTATCTCCCTTGAGTCTTGTATACAACATGGCAATACAGGAATAGTTATCTCCCTTGAGTCTTGTATGCAACATAGTCATACATCTGTGTTCACCTTCATCTACCTGCAGGTGACCCTCCGAGATGCCACGTGGACATTCTCGACAAGAGCTCCGCAAAAACCTTATTTGGCCTGACCCAGTACAGTAATGGATCGGACCACATCTTTTCCGCTAATCAGGCACTGCGGTTTGCTGGAGGTATACCGGAAGTGTATATAGGTCGCGGGACAGCGCGAGACGGGATCGTGGTTGATATGTGGGAGTCCTGCATCTACTCGGAACCTAACAATGCAACGCTCAAGCTGACCTGGTATTTTAGTAAGTTTTCAAAGTATAATTCATCCTTATCAGACACAGTGGCTGGTGATTTCGTGCGTACGTGGACCGCCTGAGTGGTGTAGTGGACACAGTGTCTGCACGGAGAGCGGAATACTACTGAAAACAGTGTCTGAATGGGGTATTCATGTTAAACTGTGGCATGATATCTCAGTGGGCTAGCACTATCAAATCGGCATTTGTCAGGGTTAGTACAAGCAGACATACACACACGCATACGCAACGCTTAACACACACACACACACACACACACACACACACTCACTCACACGTTACTATAGGTGCAATAATCTTGAACGCGACATGCCGGGTTTACAACCACATCTTGGGTACACTACAGGATAAAGAGCTCGCTCCATTGGAGACGCACAGACGAGGGGAGGAAGAAAAGTTATGTGTGTTTGTTTGTTTGCTTGTTGTTTAACGCCGCACTCAGCAATATGACGGCGGTCTGTAAATGATCGAGTCTGGGCAGGAAAATCAAGTGATTGATATCATGAGTATCGATCTATGCAATTGGGAAACGGGTACATGCACCAACCAAGTCAGCGAGCCTGACCACCCGATCCCGTTTGTAGCCTCTTTCGACAACCCTGGGTTGCTGAAGACCTATTCTACCTCGGATCTTCACGCTTGGGTAGGAATATGTACGGACTGATCACAGCATACCTCCTTCTATCATCACGTGTTATTGTTGAAGTGGTTAATCAGACGTTGGCGCTACCTCCTTTTATCACCACGTGACATTGTTGCTGGGTTAGTCAGACGTTGACGCTACCTCCTTCTATCATCACGTGACATTATTGCTGTGGTTAATCAGACGTTGGCGCAACCTCCTTCTATCATCACGTGACATTGTTGCTGTGGTTAATCAGACGTTGGCGCCACCTCCTTCTATCATTGCGTGACATTGTTGCTATGGTTCATCAGACGCTGGCGCTACCTCCTTCTAGCATCACCTGACATTGTTGCTGTGGTTAATCAGGCGTTGGCGCGACCTCGTTCTATCATCACGTGACATTGTTGCTGTGGTTCATCAGACGTTGGCGCCACCTCGTTGTATCATCACGTGACATTGTTGCTGTGGTTAATCAGACGTTGGCGCTACCTCCTTCCATCATTGCCTGACATTGTTGCTGTGGTTAATCAGACGTTGGCGCCACCTCGTTCTATCATCACGTGACATTGTTGCTGTGGTTAATCAGATGTTGGCGCTACCTCCTTCTATCATTGCCTGACATTGTTGCTGTGGTTAATCAGACGTTGGCGCTACCTCCTTCTATCATTGCCTGACATTGTTGCTGTGGTTAATCAGACGTTGGCGCTACCTCCTTCTATCATTGCCTGACATTGTTGCTGTGGTTAATCAGGCGTTGGCGCTACCTCCTTCTATCATTGCCTGACATTGTTGCTGTGGTTAATCAGACGCTGGCGCCACCTCCTTCTTTCATTGCCTGACATTGTTGCTGCGGTTAAACAGACTTTGGCGCCACCTCCTTCTATTATTGCCTGACATTGTTGCTGTGGTTAATCAGACGTTGGCGCCACCTCCTTCTTTCATTGCCTGACATTGTTGCTGTGGTTAAACAGACTTTGGCGCCACCTCCTTCTATCATTGTCTGACATTGTTGCTGTGGTTAATCACATGTTGGCGCTACCTCCTTCTATCATTGCCTGACATTGTTGCTGTGGTTAGTCAGACGTTGGCGCTATCTCCTTCTATCATTGCCTGACATTGTTGCTGTGGTTAATCAGACGTTCGCGCGACCTTCTTCTATCATCACGTGACATTGTTGCTGTGGTTAATCAGACGTTGGCGCGACCTCGTTCTATCATCACGTGACATTGTTGCTGTGGTTAATCAGATGTTGGCGCTACCTCCTTCTATCATCACGTGACATTGTTGCTGTGGTTAATCAGACGGTGGCGCTACCTCCTTCTTTCATCACGTGACATTGTTGCTGTGGTTAATCAGACAATTGGCGCTACCTCCTTCTATCATTGCGTGACATTGTTGCTATGGTTCATCAGACACTGGCGCTACCTCCTTCTAGCATCACCTGACATTGTTGCTGTGGTTAATCAGGCGTTGGCGCGACCTCGTTCTATCATCACGTGACATTGTTGCTGTGGTTAATCAGACGTTGGCGCCACCCCCTTCTATCATTGCCTGACATTGTTGCTGTGGTTAATCAGACGTTGGCGCTACCTCCTTCTATCATTGCCAGACATTGTTGCTGTGGTTAATCAGGCGTTGGCGCCACCTCCTTCTATCATCACGTGACATTGTTGCTGTGGTTAATCAGATGTTGGCGCTACCTCCTTCTATCATTGCCTGACATTGTTGCTATTGTTAATCAGGCGTTGGCGCCACCTCGTTCTATCATCACGTGACATTGTTGCTGTGGTTAATCAGACGTTGGCGCTACCTCCTTCCATCATTGCCTGACATTGTGTTGCTGTGGTTAATCAGATGTTGGCGCTACCTCCTTCTATCATTGCCTGACATTGTTGCTGTGGTTAATCAGGCGTTGGCGCTACCTCCTTCTATCATTGCCTGACATTGTTGCTGTGGTTAATCAGACGCTGGCGCCACCTCCTTCTTTCATTGCCTGACATTGTTGCTGCGGTTAAACAGACTTTGGCGCCACCTCCTTCTATTATTGCCTGACATTGTTGCTGTGGTTAATCAGACGTTGGCGCCACCTCCTTCTTTCATTGCCTGACATTGTTGCTGTGGTTAAACAGACTTTGGCGCCACCTCCTTCTATCATTGTCTGACATTGTTGCTGTGGTTAGTCAGACGTTGGCGCTATCTCCTTCTATCATTGCCTGACATTGTTGCTGTGGTTAGTCAGACGTTGGCGCTACCTCCTTCTATCATTGCCTGACATTCTTGCTGTGGTTAATCAGACGTTGGCGCTACCTCCTTCTAGCATCACCTGACATTGTTGCTGTGGTTAATCAGACGTTCGCGCGACCTTCTTCTATCATCACGTGACATTGTTGCTGTGGTTAATCAGACGTTGGCGCGACCTCGTTCTATCATCACGTGACATTGTTGCTGTGGTTAATCAGATGTTGGCGCTACCTCCTTCTATCATCACGTGACATTGTTGCTGTGGTTAATCAGACGGTTGCGCTACCTCCTTCTTTCATCACGTGACATTGTTGCTGTGGTTAATCAGACAATTGGCGCTACCTCCTTCTATCATTGCGTGACATTGTTGCTATGGTTCATCAGACGCTGGCGCTACCTCCTTCTATCATCACGTGACATTGTTGCTGTGGTTAATCAGGCGTTGGCGCGACCTCGTTCTATCATCACGTGACATTGTTGCTGTGGTTAATCAGACGTTGGCGCCACCTCGTTCTATCATCACCTGACATTGTTGCTGTGGTTAATCAGACGTTGGCGCCACCTCGTTCTATCATCACGTGACATTGTTGCTGTGGTTAATCAGACGTTGGCGCCACCTCGTTCTATCATCACCTGACATTGTTGCTGTGGTTAATCAGACGTTGGCGCTACCTCCTTCTATCATTGCCTGACATTGTTGCTGTGGTTAATCAGACGTTGGCGCTACCTCCTTCTATCATTGCCTGACATTGTTGCTGTGGTTAATCAGATGTTGGCGCTACCTCCTTCTATCATTGCCAGACATTGTTGCTGTGGTTAGTCAGACGTTGGCGCTACCTCCTTCTATCATTGCCTGACATTGTCGCTGTGGTTAATCAGACGTTGGCGCGACCTCGTTCTATCATTGCCTGACATTGTTGCTGCGGTTAATCAGACGTTGGCGCGACCTCGTTCTATCATCACGTGACATTGTTGCTGTGGTTAGTCAGACGTTGGCGCGACCTCGTTCTATCATCACGTGACATTGTTGCTGTGGTTAATCAGATGTTGGCGCTACCTCCTTCTATCATCACGTGACATTGTTGCTGTGGTTAATCAGACGTTGGCGCGACTTCGTTCTATCATTGCCTGACATTGTTGCTGTGGTTCATCAGACAATTGGCGCTACCTCCTTCTATCATTGCGTGACATTGTTGCTATGGTTAATCAGACGTTGGCGCTACCTCCTTCTAGCATCACCTGACATTGTTGCTGTGGTTAATCAGGCGTTGGCGCGACCTCGTTCTATCATCACGTGACATTGTTGCTGTGGTTAATCAGACGTTGGCGCGACCTCGTTCTATCATCACGTGACATTGTTGCTGTGGTTAATCAGATGTTGGCGCTACCTCCTTCTATCATCACGTGACATTGTTGCTGTGGTTAATCAGACGTTGGCGCGACTTCGTTCTATCATTGCCTGACATTGTTGCTGTGGTTCATCAGACAATTGGCGCTACCTCCTTCTATCATTGCGTGACATTGTTGCTATGGTTAATCAGACGTTGGCGCTACCTCCTTCTAGCATCACCTGACATTGTTGCTGTGGTTAATCAGGCGTTGGCGCGACCTCGTTCTATCATCACGTGACATTGTTGCTGTGGTTAATCAGACGTTGGCGCCACCTCCTTCTATCATTGCCTGACATTGTTGCTGTGGTTAATCAGACGTTGGCGCTACCTCCTTCTATCATAACGTGACATTGTTGCTATGGTTAATCAGACGCTGGCGCTACCTCCTTCTAGCATCACGTGACATTGTTGCTGTGGTTAATCAGGCGTTGGCGCAACCTCGTTCTATCATCACGTGACATCGTTGCTGTGGTTAATCAGACGCTGGCGCTACCTCCTTCTAGCATCACCTGACATTGTTGCTGTGGTTAATCAGGCGTTGGCGCGACCTCGTTCTAGCATCACCTGACATTGTTGCTGTGGTTAATCAGACGTTGGCGCCACCTCCTTCTATCATTGCCTGATATTGTTGCTGTGGTTAATCAGACGTTGGCGCGTCTTCGTTCTATCATTGCCTGACATTGTTGCTGTGGTTAATCAGATGTTGGCGCTACCTCCTTCTATCATTGCCTGACATTGTTGCTGTGGTTAATCAGACGTTGGCGCCACCTCCTTCTTTCATTGCCTGACATTGTTGCTGTGGTTAATCAGACGTTGGCGCTATCTCCTTCTATCATTGCCTGACATTGTTGCTGTGGTTAATCAGACGTTGGCGCCACCTCCTTCTTTCATTGCCTGACATTGTTGCTGTGGTTAATCAGATGTTGGCGCTACCTCCTTCTATCATTGCCTGACATTGTTGCTGTGGTTAATCAGATGTTGGCGCCACCTCGTTCTATCATTGCCTGACATTGTTGCTGCGGTTAATCAGACGTTGGCGCGACCTCGTTCTATCATCACGTGACATTGTTGCTGTGGTTAATCAGACGTTGGCGCGACCTCGTTCTATCATCACGTGACATTGTTGCTGTGGTTAATCAGGCGTTGGCGCTACCTCCTTCTATCATCACGTGACATTGTTGCTGTGGTTAATCAGACGTTGGCGCTACCTCCTTCTATCATCACCTGACATTGTTGCTGTGGTTAATCAGACAATTGGCGCTACCTCCTTCTATCATTGCGTGACATTGTTGCTATGGTTCATCAGACGCTGGCGCTACCTCGTTCTATCATCACGTGACATTGTTGCTGTGGTTAATCAGACGTTGGCGCTACCTCCTTCCATCATTGCCTGACATTGTTGCTGTGGTTAATCAGATGTTGGCGCTACCTCCTTCTATCATTGCCAGACATTGTTGCTGTGGTTAGTCAGACGTTGGCGCTATCTCCTTCTATCATTGCCTGACATTGTTGCTGTGGTTAATCAGACGTTGGCGCGACCTCGTTCTATCATTGCCTGACATTGTTGCTGCGGTTAAAAAGACGTTGGCGCGACCTCGTTCTATCATCACGTGACATTGTTGCTGTGGTTAATCAGACGTTGGCGCGACCTCGTTCTATCATCACGTGACATTGTTGCTGTGGTTAATCAGATGTTGGCGCTACCTCCTTCTATCATCACGTGACATTGTTGCTGTGGTTAATCAGACGTTGGCGCTACCTCCTTCTATCATCACGTGACATTGTTGCTGTGGTTAATCAGACAATTGGCGCTACCTCCTTCTATCATTGCGTGACATTGTTGCTATGGTTCATCAGACGCTGGCGCTACCTCCTTCTAGCATCACCTGACATTGTTGCTGTGGTTAATCAGGCGTTGGCGCGACCTCGTTCTATCATCACGTGACATTGTTGCTGTGGTTAATCAGACGTTGGCGCCACCTCGTTCTATCATTGCCTGACATTGTTGCTGTGGTTAATCAGACGTTGGCGCGACCTCGTTCTATCATCACGTGACATTGTTGCTGTGGTTAATCAGACGTTGGCGCCACCTCGTTCTATCATCACGTGACATTGTTGCTGTGGTTAATCAGGCGTTGGCGCCACCTCCTTCTATCATCACGTGACATTGTTGCTGTGGTTAATCAGACGTTGACGCTACCTCCTTCTATCATCACGTGACATTATTGCTGTGGTTAGTCAGACGTTGGCGCTACCTCGTTCTATCATCACGTGACATTGTTGCTGTGGTTAATCAGACGTTGGCGCGACCTCGTTCTAACATCACGTGACATTGTTGCTGTGGTTCATCAGACGTTGGCGCTACCTCCTTCTATCATCACGTGACATTGTTGCTATGGTTAATCAGGCGTTGGCGCCACCTCCTTCTATCAGCACGTGACATTGTTGCTGTGGTTAATCAGGCGTTGGCGCCACCTCGTTCTATCATCACGTGACATTGTTGCTGTGGTTAATCAGACGTTGGCGCTACCTCCTTCTATCATTGCCTGACATTGTTGCTGTGGTTAATCAGACGTTGGCGCTACCTCCTTCTATCATTGCCTGACATTGTTGCTGTGGTTAATCAGACGTTGGCGCCACCTCCTTCTATCATTGCCTGACATTGTTGCTGTGGTTAATCAGACGTTGGCGCTACCTCCTTCTATCATTGCCTGACATTGTTGCTGTGGTTAATCAGACGTTGGCGCTACCTCCTTCTATCATTGCCTGACATTGTTGCTGTGGTTAATCAGACGTTGGCGCTACCTCCTTCTATCATTGCCTGACATTGTTGCTGTGGTTAATCAGGCGTTGGCGCTACCTCGTTCTATCATTGCCTGACATTGTTGCTGTGGTTAATCAGACGTTGGCGCTACCTCCTTCTATCATTGCCTGACATTGTTGCTGTGGTTAATCAGACGTTGGCGCCACCTCGTTCTATCATTGCCTGACATTGTTGCTGTGATTAGTCAGACGTTGGCGCGACCTCGTTCTATCATTGCCTGACATTGTTGCTGTGGTTAATCAGACGTTGGCGCCACCTCGTTCTATCATCACGTGACATTGTTGCTGTGGTTAATCAGACGTTGGCGCTACCTCCTTCTATCATTGCCTGACATTGTTGCTGTGGTTAATCAGACGTTGGCGCCACCTCCTTCTATCATTGCCTGACATTGTTGCTATTGTTAATCAGACGTTGGCGCTACCTCCTTCTAGCATCACCTGACATTGTTGCTATGGTTACAGGTGCCAACAATACGTGGGTGACAGCTGAGAATGTAGTTGCCCCAGAGCAGGTGGACGTGGAGGGAATTATGCACGTCAACAGCTCTTTATCGCTCCGCGTCCTGAGGGAGTACGTGTTTACAGACTTTCAACCAGTTGACGGCCCAGTCGCGGATTTTGAGGTAAGTGGTTCTATAAGCATTTCAACACGTGTCGGGAGTTTCAGTCTATCAGTAGACACGTGGTCGTATGTATATTCGTATTATTACGAAGGGCGCGGTTCCAACGCATTGACAGATCTGTTTGGACAAATAGTGTGGCGTGAACAGATTCAAAGGCATAGGTTTTTTACGTTCAAATTAATAACATCGTCTTTTTGTTACACTGTTACGAACAATACTGAAGGGCGCCATCATTAATGTAAATGTATGCATCACACTCCATCCTCAAACACATATGTTGAATAAAGCGTTACTTTTACAGATTTCAAAATTATCACATTTTCTTGTCACTTTAACATTAATTATCGAATAAACTGTAATCATATTTTTGCACTTCCCCCTTACAGCGTTGATTCGCACTGGGTAGTATGAACATCTCAGTGTAATTCCCCGCAGTTCTGTTGTTGTTTTCTAATGAGTGAGTGAGTGAGTATCTTTTTACGCCGCTTTTGGCAATATTCCAGCAATATCACGGCGGGGAACACCAGAAATGGGCTTTACACATTGTAACCCTGTCGGGAATCGAGCCCTGGTCTTCGGCGTGACGAGTGAACGCTCTAACCACTTGGTCTCCCGACCGCCCGGTTTTCTGATGATAAAAGACAAACGGTAGACCTTTCCACACTTACGTTGTGTTGTTGTTTTCCAGGGGTACGTTGTGTTGTTGTCTTCCTCGTGTATATTGTGTTGTTGTGTTCGTCGTGTACCTTGTATGGTTGTGTCCCTTGAGTTCGTTGTGTTGTGGTGTTCGTCGTGTTCGTGTACGTTGTGTTGTTGTGGTCCACGTGTATATTGTGTTGTTCCGTCCCTCGTGTACGTTGTGTTGTTATGGTCCACGTGTATATTGTGTTGTTGTGTCCCTCGTGTATATTGTGTTGTTGTGTCCATCATGTTCGTTGTGTTGTTGTGTCCCTCGTGTTCGTTGTGTTGTTCTGTCCCTCGTGTACGTTGTGTTGTTGTGTCCCTCGTGTATATTGTGTTGTTTTGTTCCTCGTGCTCGTTGTGTTGTTGTGTTCCCCGCGTACGTTGTGTTGTGTCCCACGTGTACGTTGTTTTTTGGTTCACGTGTACGTTGTGTTGTTGTGGTCCACGTGTACGTTGTGTTGTTGTGTTCCTCGTGTACGTTGTGTTGTGTTCCACGTGTACGTTGTGCTTTGATTCACGTGTACGTTGTGCTCTGGTTCACGTGTACGCTGTGTTGTTGTGGTCCACGTGTGAACTGTGTTGTTGTGTTCCTCGTGTACGTTGTGTTGTTGTGTTCCTCGTGTACGTTGTGTTGTGTCCCACGTGTACGTTGTGCTTTGGTTCACGTGTACGCTGTGTTGTTGTGGTCCACGTGTGACCTGTGTTGTTGTGTTTCTCGTGTACGTTGTGTTGTTGTGTTCGTCGTGTACGTTGTGTTACTGTGGTCCATCTGTATATTGTGTTGTTGTGGTCCACATGTTTATTCTGTTGTTTTGTTCCACGTGTTCGTTGTGTTGTTGTGTTCCACGTGTTCGTTGTGTTGTTGTGTTCCTCGTGTTCGTTGTGTTGTTGTCTTCCTCGTGTACGTTGTGTTGTTGTCTTCCTCGTGTACGTTGTGTTGTTGTCTTCCTCGTGTACGTTGTGTTACTGTGGCCCATCTGTATAGTGTGTTGTTGTGGTCCACATGTTTATTCTGTTGTTTTGTTCCACGTGTTCGTTGTGTTGTTGGGTTCCACGCGTACTTTGTGTTGCTATGTCCCTTGTGTACGTTGTGTTATTGTGGTCCATCTGTATATTGTTTTGTTGTGTTCCACGTGCTCGTTGTGTTGTTGGGTTCCACGCGTACGTTGTGTGGTGTGTTCCTTGTGTACGTTGTGTTATTGTGGTCCATCTGTATATTGTTTTGTTGTGTTCCTCGTGTTCATTGTGTTGTTGTGTTCTGTTCTGTTCCTCGTGTTCCACGTTTATATTGTGTTGTGGTGTCCCTCGAGTATTTTGTGTTGTGGTTTCCTCTTGTACGTTGTGTTGTTGTGTTCCACGTGTATAGTGTGTTGTTGTGTCAAATGTGTACGCTGCGTTGTTGTGTTCCACGTGTATATTGTGCTGCTGTGTTCAACGGGCACCTTGTGTCGTTGTTTTCCAGGCGTACGTTGTGTTGTTATTTTCCAAGTTTACGTTGTGTTGTTAATTTCCAGGCGTACGTTGTGTTGTTATTTTCCAAGTGTACGTTGTGTTGTTATTTTCCAAGTGTACGTTGTGTTGTTAACTTCCAAGTGTACGTTGTGTTGCAGACTCCTCCCGGCACGTACTGCCAGAACAGAGTGTCGACCCGACCTATGCCCAACGTCACCAACACATTCACATTCACAGCGGAAATATTTGAACCAATGAACTACTACCTCAACTGGATAAAGGTTGTCTTATTACATCGCCTACAGTGGATACATGACTTTACTCCTGTTTCAGTTTTGTGTTCAAGAGTATATGCAATAGATTGCAAAAACGGTAATTGTATTTTTCAGGGCATTATCAATTGCAGAAGCATGTGGTCATCCATTAACTGCCCCGCGAAGGAGTGCAGTTGAACAGACCGAGAGGTTCTGCAAATGATAATCCCCTGAAAAATACCGTTACCGTTATTATAGCTTAAATGGAAAGAATTTGTAACTCATCCCAAAATGAAGAAAATAACAAACAGCAGCATAAGTTTAGCGTCTGCTTGGAAAACCTCACCGGAGGTCATTGATTAAAACTAGCAATATGATAGAATAGAATAGGATGACGTCACGAACAAGACACTTGACACCAATGACGTCACATAACAGTAGACAAGACAGCAGCCCGTCATTAGTGAAATACGGGATACTATCAAGTTTCAGTTACCCGCAGATTTCTGATATCATGCTGGCGCTTTTATAATAGTTCTATCCATTTTAGTTATAACGTCGGTTTAACGCTACAGACAGCGATAAAGTGATGTTATTCTGCCACATGAAGGTTCAACTGAAAATGTTTATAAAACGTAAGACGCCTCCGTGATTTAGTTGACAGCGCATGTGTCTGGTAAGCGGCAGGTCCGGTGTTCGATCCACTGCCGCGTCATAACCAACAATATAGCACTTGATGTTACCCTGCCTTGCGTTCGCCATTAAGTGGATGAAAGAAGCACTGGTTGGCTCGGAGTAAAGATGCTTTGCCTGAGTGTGGCACTACGAGACCGACATTATCCCGGATAAGTACAAGCAACCAAACACACACACACACACACACACACACACACACACACACACACACACACACACACACACACACACACACACACACACACACACACACACACACACACACACACACACACACACACACACACAAACAGAGAGACACAGACACGCACGCACGCACGCACGCACACACACACACAAACAGAGAGACACAGACACGCACGCACGCACGCACGCACACACACACACACACACAAAGAGAGAGAGACACACACACACACACGCACGCACGCACGCACACACACACACAAACAGAGAGAGAGAGACACACACACACGCACGCACGCACGCACACACACACAAACAGAGAGAGAGACACACACACACACACACGCACCCACGCACGCACGCACGCACACACGCACGCACGCATGCACACACACACATACATACGCAAACACACGATTGTTTTAGGAATGTCTTCAAGAGGGTAATGTGTACATGTGCTGTTGTCAGGAGTATTACGACTGGGACCTGAACCTCGTTCGCTACGATTACAGCGTCGACCCAGGCACCCCCAGCCCCTACGGCAACGGCAAGCTGATAAGGGTGCACGACTTCAACACAGGTCGGTAGCAGTTGTCTAACGTCAAGCCTCCTACGTACCTACCCTAACGTCATACATCCTACCAACCTACTCTAACGTCAAGCCTCCTACGTACCTACCCTAACGTCATACATCCTACCAACCTACTCTAACGTCAAGCCTCCTACGCACCTACCCTAACGTCATACATCCTACCAACCTACTCTAACGTCAAGCCTCCTACGTACCTACCCTAACGTCATACATCCTACCAACCTACTCTAACGTCAAGCCTCCTACGTACCTACCCTAACGTCATACATCCTACCAACCTACTCTAACGTCAAGTCTCCTACGTACCTACCCTAACGTCATACATCCTACCAACCTACTCTAACGTCAAGCCTCCTACGTACCTACCCTAACGTCATACATCCTACCAACCTACCCTAACGTCAAGCCTCCTACGTACCTACCCTAACGTCATACATCCTACCAACCTACTCTAACGTCAAGTCCCCTACCTACCTGCACTCACGTCAAGTCTTCTGCCTACTCTAACGTCAACCCCATACTTACCTACTCTAACGTCAAGCCCCCAACCTACCTGACCTTACGCCAAGCCCACTATCTACTTAACCTTATGTCAAGTCCCCTAACTACATTGTACACTGACGTAAAACCCACTATCTACCTAATCTTATGTCAGGTCCCCTACTTACACTGACGTAAAGCCCACTATCTACCTAATCTTACGTCAAGCCCACTATCTACCTACCTAACGTCAAGCCTACGATCTACCTACACCTAACGTCAAGCCCACTATCTACCTACACTCACGTCAAGCCCACTATCTACCTACCCTAACGTCAAGCTCACAATCTACCTACACACACGTCAAGCCCACTATCTACATAACGTTACGTCAAGTCTCCCTCACACACACACGTCAAGCCCACTATCTACCTAAGCTTACGTCAAACCCACTATCAACCTAACCTTACGTCAAGTTTCCTATCTACACTCACGTCAAGCCTATTATCTACCCTCCCTAACGTCAAGGCCACGATCTACCTACACACACGTCAAGCCCACTATCTACCTACACTGACGTCAAGCCCACTATCTACCTACCCTTAAGTCAAGCTCACGATCTACTCACACACACGTCAAGCCCACTATCTACCTACCCTTAAGTCAAGCCCACTATCTACCTGACCTTACGTCAAGCCAACTATCTACCTAACCTTATGTCAAGCCCACTTTCTACCTAATCTAACGTCGTCTACTACCTACACTCACGTCAAGCCTACTATCTACCTAACCTTACGTCAAGCCCACTTTCTACCTAACCTAACCTAACGTCGTCAACTACCTACTCTATCACCAACCCCCTACCTACCCTAACGTCAAGCCTTCTACCTACCCACCCTACGATCTACCTACACCCACGTCAAGCCCACTATCTACCTACCCGAAAGCCAAGCTAACAATCTACCTACACACACGTCAAGCCCACTATCTACATAACGTTACGTCAAGTCTCCCTCCCACACACGCGTCAAGCCCACTATCTACCTAAGCTTACGTCAAACCCACTATCTACCTAACCTTACGTCAAGTTTCCTACCTACACTCACGTCAAGCCCACTATCTACCCACCCTAACGTCAAGCTCACGATCTACCTACACACACGTCAAGCCCACTATCTACCTACACTGACGTCAAGCCCACTATCTACCTAGCCTAACGTCAAGCTCACGATCTACTCACACACACGTCAAGCCCACTATATACTTAATCTTAAGTCAAGCCCACTATCTACCTAGCCTTATGTCAGGTCCCCTACTTACACTGACGTAAAGCGCACTATCTACCTAATCTTGCGTCAAGCCCACTATCTACCTAACCTTACGTCAAGTCTCCTACCTACACTCACGTCAAGCCCACTATCTACCTACCTAACGTCAAGCCTACGATCTACCTACACCCACGTCAAGCCCACTATCTTCCTACACTCACGTCAAGCCCACTATCTACCTACCCTAACGTCAAGCTCACAATCTACCAACACACACGTCAAGCCCACTATCTACATAACGTTACGTCAAGTCTCCCTCCCACACACACGTCAACCCCACTATCTACCTAAGCTTACGTCAAACCCACTATCTACCTAACCTTACGTCAAGTTTCCTACCTACACTCACGTCAAGCCTTCTATCTACCCACCCTAACGTCAAGCTCACGATCTACCTACACACACGTCAAGCCCACTATCTACCTTCCCTAACGTCAAGCTCACGATCTACTCACACACACGTCAAGCCCACTATCTACCTACCCTTAAGTCAAGCCCACTATCTACCTGACCTTACGTCAAGCCAACTATCTACCTAACCTTATGTCAAGCCCACTTTCTACCTAACCTAACGTCGTCTACTACCTACACTCACGTCAAGCCTACTATCTACCTAACCTTACGTCAAGCCCACTTTCTACCTAACCTAACCTAACGTCGTCACCTACCTACTCTATCATCAACCCCCTACCTTCCCTAACGTCAAGCCTTCTACCTACCCACCCTAACCTCAAGTCTCCTACCTACCCACCCTAATGTCAAGCCTTCTACCTACCCACCCTTACGTCAAGCCTTCTACCTACCCACCCTTGCGTCAAGCCTTCTACCTACCCACCCAAACGTCAAGCCTTCTACCTACCCACCCTAACCTCAAGCCTCCTACCTACCCACCCTAATGTCAAGCCTCCTACCTACCCACCCTTACGTCAAGCCTTCTACCTACCCACCCTTATTTCAAGCCTTCTACCTACCCACCCTAACGTCAAGCCTCCTACCTACCTAACGCAAAGCCTCCTGACAAATACTTTAAGCGTTCGCTTGACACGCCGAGGGCCCGGGTTCGATTCCCTTAAGGGTACAAAATACATTAACTCTACTTTGATATTACTTGAATATTGCTAAAAGGGGCGTAAAACCATACTCACTCACTCACTAGTAGGGACGGAGGAGGACCAATCATGAAAGACGACGTGTGACGTCATGATCGGTCCTACATGCAGCTCGGATATTCAGACTATCCAGACAATTTGTACCTCGTGAAACATGGTTGTTCGTTCGCTCGCCATGGCTCAGCATTATTTCACGAGAATCCGATAATCCGTAAATCTTCGTAGGTAGATAATTACATCTATTGTCCTTTCCTCGTGTCTAGGCGTGGCTTACGTCATGGACGCCATGGTTGGCAACTGCTCCGTGACTCCCATCAACGCCACAGGCTTCGACGCCAAGTCCCTGGACGCCGGGAAAGTTCGGATCAGGACAGACAAGGAGTTCTTCTACTTCAGCAATGTCCCTTATGAATATGCTGGGCAGGTATGAGTACATGTGTGCTTAACAACTACAGTCCACGGACAATGGGATGGGCTGCATTAGTAATATTTGTAAAATGTTGAGGTAGCCATGTGACTAATGCATGTCCTCGACACGCCTAAGACCTTGATGGGAAATCCCTAACAGTGTGAATCGTATTGCTATCCCTCACAGTGATCCTGTTGGAATATTGCAAAGAGCGACGTAGATTCTTTTCATTCAGTTAAACTTCATATCAAATATCAAATAAATATATCAATTTGTCTCATGCAGCCGTTTTAACACTTCTTCTATCAGAAACGTCCACAGCTGGGGTGAATACTTCACGTCACTTACTCTCACTGTACTGTTAGTCACAGAAGGTTATGGATGCTACTACTGAAACCAAAAAGAAATGGTTATTTGATCGAGGAATATAGGCGATATTTCATGCCTCATACCACAAAAAGAAATGGTTATTTGATCGAGGAATATAGGCAATATTCCATGCCTCATACCACAAAAAGAAATGGTTATTTGATAGAGGAATATAGGCGATATTCCATGCCTCATACCACAAAAAGAAATGGTTATTTGATAGAGGAATATAGGCGATATTCCATGCCTCATACCACAAAAAGAAATGGTTATTTGATAGAGGAATATAGGCGATATTCCATGCCTCATACCACAAAAAGAAATGTTTTTTTGATGGAGGAATATAGGCAATATTCCATGCCTCATACCACAAAAAGAAATGGTTATTCGATGGAGGAATATAGGCGATATTCAATGCCTCATACTACAAAAAGAAATGGTAATTTGATAGAGGAATACAGGCAATATGTCATGCCTTATACCACAAAAAGAAATGGTTATTTGATACAGGAATACAGGCAATATTTCATGCCTCATACCACAAAAAGAAATGATTATTTGATAGAGGAATAAAGGCGATATTCAATGCCTCATACCACAAAAAGAATGTTTATTTGATAGAGGAATATAGGCAATATTCCATGCCTCATACCACAAAAAGACAGCCTCGTAACGTTAATTACGATTGTAGTATTTTGGTCAAATCTGATTTCCATGCGTATACTTTCTATTCCCCGGCAGTGTATCTGAGGAAGACAACCATAACGGAGTGCCCTGGTGGATAAATGCCAAGATTAATAGCAATACAAAATGGATTGGCATGCGTCTCGTTTTTAATAACCCAACACTCAAACATACATCTAATTAAAGGGCTCATTAATAACTGATTACAGTAAACTACGGTTATAACGAACTCAAAGGGACCACTGATACAAACGTAGTTCGTAATGAGCGTATATACAGCATACTGTATACACAGCAAATGGCCGGGACCAAAAATATGTTCGTTATATCCGTCAGTTCGTTAAAAGCGTATATACAGCATACTGTATGCACAGCAAATGGCCGGGACCAAAAATATGTTCGTTATATCCGTCAGTTCGTTATAAGCGTATATACAGCATACTGTATACACATCAAATGGCCGGGACCAAAAAATATTTTCGTTATATCCGTCAGTTCGTTATAAGCGTGCTCGTTATAAACGTAGTTTACCGTATATGAATTTGAAATCTTAATCCTGATTGGCCCATCGCTGAATTGTTAATATGGACGTCATCGAACTTCTCCAAAATGTTGGAAGACCAAAATTAACACCTGAACTAATTATGGCACACAGGATTACTAATTACGCCCTTTCTGCAATAAACACCTGTGTACAAACTAGCACGTAGGATTTGTGTGTAGAAGAAAGCAGCTGCTTGAAATAGCATGATAATGTAAGCCTCAATTGGAGATTTTGCAGCGCTTGGTATATAGCTTGATAGCAACCCTTGAGGCAAGTATGCAGGTCTCGGTGTGACGTCATCAGAATCTGTTGACAGCGAGTGGTACGTGGCATCAACTGTGACGTATGGACCGCCCGGAGAGTCGGCTACCCCGCTGGTTACCCCAACGCCATCAGCATCTGGGAGTGGTACTTCGCCAGCGTATGTACCTCACACTTTTTGCATAGCCTATGCTACTCAAAAAAGTTTAAACAACACCCGCAATTGGATGGCTGTGCGTTGCTATACCCACCAACCATGACAGATTAACTTTAGTCACATGAACAAAACTTTAACTTTTTGAGTGGTTTATACAGAATACAATCTACGAGTGACGAGGAATGACGGATTATCTGTCCCGAGTGAAATTACAGTTGTAAGAAAGTTGTAAGGACTTTGATCATTAGTTTCACGAGGGACAAATAAGCCACCATTCCTCGTCACGAGAAGTGTATTGTTTTAGTTTGCCCATCGTCAAGTTTTAAATAAGAAGCCAAAAGACAAGACACAGGCGAAGTCGCATTTCATGACATTCATACGCGTGTGAAACGGCATCGAATTCGTGGAAGGTTACCTGATCACACACACAGACTATATCAATACTCGTTTGAGCGGCATCAGTTCATAATAGTTAGGCTCAGAACTTTGCAGCCACACTGAATTTTTTATCTGGTTTCTGAGAGGCGAGATCGCGAGAACTTGAGTTTTTTGTTTCCTTTTTCTCCCGCTTGGGTCTGTTATACTCCGGAGATGCCCTACAATGAAACAAAGTCCCCATCATTACCAAGTCGCTGTTGTATGCTATACTTTGCCGTACTTAACCCATCTTCATCATGTTCTGGTTTTGTTCCACATCGGCCCAGGCGGAAGAATACATGCCAAACTTTACAGGCAATACAAGTCTTTATCACAATGTTGGGAATCACATGCATACCTTAAACAAAACACTGGTATTTCGCATTTCACAATTGTTATTGTCTTTAATTTTGAACATTTTCTGTTTACGTTTAACAAAGAAATGAGCAGTTATTGCATTTCTTTCAAAATCTCAAACAGATCTATTTATAGACGTATCAAGTTCAATCAGAAAGTAGTTCTTATTTCCGTCAAAACTAGCATTTATCGAAGTCTGAATGCAGATTTGTGTTATTATGTATTTGTATTTGTGTACTTATTGCATGATGCTGTGTGTTGCAACAGAGCGAATGGATGGAGAACACGGGGATATCCAACTACTTCTACCTTCCCGTCATGCTGCAGGTGACGTCACAGGCGGTAAGACAGCTGGGGCTTCACGCTACACAATTGTCAGTGAGTGAGTGAGTGAGTTGGGTTTAACGCCATATTGAACAGTATTTCAGTTAAACCATGGCGTGTCAGATTAATGTTTAAACCCATGAGCGTGGCCTGGGTGCTGACAAATCCAAGACAACAATCACAGCCTACTATCCTGGCCCTGACCCTGAAGGTACCCACTGCTGCACTACTAGCGATACGAGTGTCGTAAGTCTATGTTAAAGTATGGGAGATACGATCGTCTTAGAATGGCGACTGCCATAAGTATGTGTGAACGTATGGGACTTACGATCGTCTCAGCATTACAGCTGTCGTAAGTCAATATTAAATTATGGGAGATACGACACTAAGCGATACGACTTTCGTGTGTCCATGTTAAAGTATGGGAGATTCGATCGCCCCAGCGACTGTCCTCAATATTAAGGTGGGGGAGATACGATTGTCTTAGCGATATGACTTGCGTGAGTCAATATTAACGTATGGGAGTGACTAATGTCTTAGCACTAGCGTTGCCTTAAATGTATGTTAAAGAATGTAAGCTACGTTACGTTCGTCCTAGCACTACAACCGTCCAAGGTCTACTATCGTCTTACCTCTGTAACTGTCCTTAGCGGGAAGATCGCTTTGTGGAAAGGCCCCTGGGATTGAACACGAGACGAAATGTTTCAGCTACTGTAGGAATTATGTCAGCTGTCGGAATGTATTTGATAATATTAGTGATCTCATTATATAAAGATGCTGTCAGATTATCTGTATATTATGTTTATGTACATAGATTGATATCAGTAGTCTTATTATATGCAGATTATGCCTATTCTAGATTACAAAAAGGTTCTGTCCATACATGTTTTCATTAAATCTCACATTGGACCTCACACTGAGCATCATGAGCCAAACACAGAGTCTCACAATTACTCTGAGATTATACATGCGATGATAGTCACATTCATCTTCACTGTGAACAAGCTATGAACATCCTTCTTACAATCCCGCGCAGCCTGTGATGAACGTCATCTACAACATCTACGACTACAGCGAGGGCAACCCTAACATCTGGCAGACTGACATCTCCGCTTGCTTCAACTACACCAACAGAAAGGCCTTCCAGTTGGCCTTCCCAGGTGAGCCTCATTACCAGACACCACTGACACCTCCCACCTCCACCCGTATGTCCAGGTGAACCCCATTACCAGACACCATTGACACCTCCCACCACCACCTGTATATCCAGGTGAACCCCATTACCAGACACCATTGACACCTCCCACCTCCACCTGTATGTCCAGGTGAGCCTCATTACCAGACACCACTGACACCTCCCACCTCCACCTGTATGTCCAGGTGAGCTCCATTGCCAGACACCATTGACACCTCCCACCTCCACCTGTATATCCAGGTGAGCCCCATTACCAGACACCATTGACACCTCCCACCACCGCCTGTATGTCCAGGTGAGCCCCATTACCAGACACCATTACACCTCCCAACACCACCTGTATGTCCAGGTGAACCTCATTACCAGACACCATTACACCTCCCAACACCACCTGTATGTCCAGGTGAACCCCATTACCAGACACCATTGACACCTCCCACCACCACCTGTATGTCCAGGTGAGCCTCATTACCAGACACCATTACACCTCCCAACACCACCTGTATGTCCAGGTAAGCCCCATTACCAGACACCATTGACACCTCCCACCACCACCTGTATGTCCAGGTGAGCTCCATTACCAGACACCATTGACACCTCCCACCACCACCTGTATGTCCAGGTGAGCCTCATTACCAGACACCATTGACACCTCCCAACACCACCTGTATGTCCAGGTAAGCCCCATTACCAGACACCATTGACACCTCCCAACACCACCTGTATGTCCAGGTGAGCCTCATTACCAGACACCATTGACACCTCCCAACACCACCTGTATGTCCAGGTAAGCCCCATTACCAGACACCATTACACCTCCCAACACCACCTGTATGTCCAGGTAAGCCCCATTACCAGACACCATTGACACCTCCCACCACCGCCTGTATGTCCAGGTGAGCCCCATTACCAGACACAATTACAAGACACCATTGACACCTCCCACCACTACCTGTATGTCCAGGTGAGCCTCATTACCAGACACCATTGACACCTCCCACCTCCACCTGTATGTCCAGGTGAGCCTCATTACCAGATACCATTGACACCTCCCACCACTACCTGTATGTCCAGGTGAGCCCCATTACCAGACACCATTGACACCTCCCACCACCACCTGTATGTCCAGGTGAGCCCCATTACCAGACACCATTGACACCTCCCACCACCACCTGTATGTCCAGGTAAGCCCCATTACCAGACACCATTGACACCTCCTAACACCACCTGTATGTCCAGGTGAGCTCCATTACCAGACACCATTGACACCTCCCACCACCACCTGTATGTCCAGGTAAGCCCCATTACCAGACACCATTGACACCTCCCAACACCACCTGTATGTCCAGGTGAGCCCCATTACCAGACACCATTGACACCTCCCACCACCACCTGTATGTCCAGGTGAGCTCCATTACCAGACACCATTGACACCTCCTAACACCACCTGTATGTCCAGGTGAGCTCCATTACCAGACACCATTGACACCTCCCACCACCACCTGTATGTCCAGGTAAGCCCCATTACCAGACACCATTGACAACTCCCACCACCACCTGTATGTCCAGGTGAGCTCCATTACCAGACACCATTGACACCTCCTAACACCACCTGTATGTCCAGGTGAGCCCCATTACCAGACACCATTGTCACCTCCCACCACCACCTGTATGTCCAGGTGAGCTCCATTACCAGACACCATTGACACCTCCTAACACCACCTGTATGTCCAGGTGAGCCCCATTACCAGACACCATTGTCACCTCCCACCACCACCTGTATGTCCAGGTGAGCTCCATTACCAGACACCATTGACACCTCCTAACACCACCTGTATGTCCAGGTGAGCCCCATTACCAGACACCATTGTCACCTCCCACCACCACCTGTATGTCCAGGTGAGCCCCATTACCAGACACCATTGACAACTCCCACCACCACCTGTATGTCCAGGTGAGCCCCATTACCAGACACCATTGACACCTCCTAACACCACCTGTATGTCCAGGTGAGCCCCATTACCAGACACCATTGTCACCTCCCACCACCACCTGTATGTCCAGGTGAGCTCCATTACCAGACATCATTGACACCTCCTAACACCACCTGTATGTCCAGGTAAGCCCCATTACCAGACACCATTGACACCTCCCACCAACACCTGTATGTGCAGGTGAGCTCCATTACCAGACACCATTACACCTCCCACCAACACCTGTATGTCCAGGTGAGCCCCATTACCAGACACCATTGACACCTCCCACCACCGCCTGTATGTCCAGGTGAGCTCCATTACCAGACATCATTGACACCTCCCACCAACACCTGTATGTCCAGGTGAGCCCCATTACCAGACATCATTGACACCTCCCAACACCACCTGTATGTCCAGGTGAGCTCCATTACCAGACATCATTGACACCTCCCACCAACACCTGTATGTGCAGGTGAGCTCCATTACCAGACACCATTGACACCTCCCACCACCGCCTGTATGTCCAGGTGAGCCCCATTACCAGACACAATTACCAGACACCATTGACATCTCCCACCACCACCTGTATGTCCAGGTGAGCCTCATTACCAGACACCATTGACACCTCCCACCACCGCCTGTATGTCCAGGTGAGCTCCATTACCAGACACAATTACCAGACAACATTGACACCTCCCACCACCACCTGTATGTCCAGGTGAGCTCCATTACCAGACACAATTACCAGACACCATTGACACCTCCCACCACCACCTGTTTGTCCAGGTGAGCCCCATTACCAGACACCATTGACACCTCCCACCACCACCTGTATGTCCAGGTGAGCCTCATTACCAGACACCATTGACACCTCCCACCACCACCTGTATGTCCAGGTGAGCCCCAGCCCAAACACCATGTCAACGCCGAGTCCGTATGTCTCACATTGTTCCCGTTATTCTTCTACAGGAACCTACAGTAAGGATGTGGCCGCCAACCTTAGCAAGTTCAAATTTGCCGTCGTTTCATCCATAGTTGCGCTGGGCGGCATCTCACCCCTCAGGATAAGCAACACACAGGTAATGGGGGAAGTACACAGGTAATGGAGGCATTACACAGATAGTCCAGGCGACTCACAGGTAGTGGGGTCAGCACACAGGTAGCGGGGTCAATACACAGGTAGCGGGGTCAATACACAGGTCATGGGGTCAGTACACAGGTAGTGGAGGTAGTACATAGGTAGTGGGGTCAGTACACAGGAGGTAGGGTCAGTACACAGGTAGTGGGGTCAGTACACAGGTAGTGGAGGCAGTACACAGGCAGTGGGGTCAGTACACATGAAGTAGAGGCAGTACACAGGTAGTGGGGTATGTACACAGGTAGTGGGGTCAGTACACAGGTAGTGGGGTATGTACACAGGTAGTGGGGTCAGTACACAGGTAGTGGGGTATGTACACAGGTAGTGGGGTATGTACACAGGTAGTGGGGTCAGTACACAGGTAGTGGGGTATGTACACAGGTAGTGGGGTCAGTACACAGGTAGTGGGGTCAGTACACAGGTAGTAGGGTCAGTACACAGGTAGTGGGGTATGTACACAGGTAGTGGGGTCAGTACACAGGTAGTGGGGTATGTACACAGGTAGTGGGGTATGTACACAGGTAGTGGGGTCAGTACACAGGTAGTTTGGTCTCTACACAGATAGTGGGTGTGTACACAGGTAGTTGGGTCAGTACACAGGTAGTGGGGTATGTACACAGGTAGTGGGGTCAGTACACAGGTAGTAGGGTCAGTACACAGGTAGTAGGGTCAGTACACAGGTAGTTTGGTCTCTACACAGATAGTGGGTGTGTACACAGGTAGTAGGGTCAGTACACAGGTAGTGGGGTATGTACACAGGTAGTGGGGTATGTACACAGGTAGTGGGGTCAGTACACAGGTAGTGGGGTCAGTACACAGGTAGTAGGGTCAGTAAACAGGTAGTGGGGTCAGTACACATGTATTCAAGGTGACACACAGTTATTCGAGGCGCCACTCAGGTAGTGGGGACATCACAAAGATAGTGGGATCAACACACAGTGGGGACAACAGACATGTTTCAGTTGTTGAGTATACGCTGTATCTCACCTGTAGGTGGACTTCAGTTCCGGTGACGTCCTGGTGAGCTTCACCATCCTGGACAAGGCCCCTATTGCAGGGGACGCCAATACAGGCTTCATCGACATCCCCCTCGCCGACGCCGTCAGCGCCATCACCACCAGCGTTAACACTGGCCAGTTTCAGATCCTCCTCGACCACGCATCGTTTCCGTCTGCCCCGGTACGTGTATCATGTCGATGCTGTCAAGTGTTCCAACAACACGATGACCAAACACATATCTTTGGTAAAGTGGGTGCAGGGAAATTTGTAATTTGGCAATTAATCTGTCACGGCCGACGGGTGTTCTACTTCTTTTGAGTAGTACAGTTTTGTCTTTCATCACGTCCACATCATTTGTTCCCACGCTTCTAGCTACCATGGGGACCGCCTCACCTCACTTCTCGTTACCATGGCTGTAGAAGCACATGGTAATGATTCCAACCTCTGATTGGTTGAGTGTGTTCTCTCGTCAACGAAAGTATATATACTGAACCGCAAAAGAAACGTCACCCCAAGTAACATTGCATGAAACATTATCATATAAATATCTGGGTAATTTTTTTGTAAAAGTTTCTAAAATTTAACATTACCTTCTCCGGAAAAATGAAATTTGATGATAAAAAAACAAAGCAGATGACAATAAAACCGATCGTCCAAACGCATCACGGCAACGACCATGGTAACCAGATGCACGTGAGTTCCGTGTATACTGAAATGCACATGCGTTCCCCCATTTCTTGCCCTATAAAAATCCACCCAGGTCGGATAACATTTATTATTTATTGAATGGCTACCACATACCAAGTTTGACAATTATCAGCGACACAAAAGCCTAGGATGATTGCAAGCTGGACAAACCGCCCGGCAAGGAGCCAATGCATTTCAAGTCCACGTAAGGACCATATACAGGCTCCAGCAACGGTACCAAACCACCAACACGACAGATGACCGATCACGTAGTGGAAGACCATGGGGCACCACCCGACGTCAGGATCGTCAGATGGTGCGACAGCATCTTCAAGATCGCTTGGTTACTGCTGAAACGTTTCGACAGACCATGGGGACACACAAGCGACACGTAAGTACGGACACCGTGCGTAGACGATTGACAAGCAGACACCTCCACTGACACAGGCCACAACGAAGACCCATTCTGAAACCACGTCATCGCCGGGACCATCTTCAGTGGGCAACACAGCACCAGCATTGGCGCCACTAGCAGTGGAGAAGAGTTACTGTATCTTAACAGCAGATGGCAGAGAGAGAGTCTGTCGACGCCGCGGGGAACGTTATTCGGATGATTGTGTTGTTGAGAGAGACTCGTGGGGTGGTCCGAGCATCATGGTGTGGGGTGGAATTGGTCTTGCACAGAGGGTCAGCCCTGTGGTCTTCCAGAACATCGGTTCGGGAGAGACAATGGCGTCACAGCAGCTCGGTACATTGATCAGCAAGATACTTCCTCCAGCAGAATGGCATCAGAACCATGCAGTAGCCTGCCCTCAGTCCCGATTTAAATCCCATTGAGCACCTGGTTCAAAAACGGCTGAATGACGTCCGTCCAAGGCCGACAACTGCAGCTGAACTGCGTCAGGCGTTCCTCAGAGTGTGGGCTTAAGTGTCTATGGCCTTCATCAACCGCCTCATCCATTCCATGTATCGACGCTGCACGGCCGTCATCAATGCACATGGCGGACACACGAGATACTGACTTGTGATGCCATTTTCTCAGAAACTGTGTTGTGTTTCACTTCAAGAACATTTGACATTTAAATTTCAACCTTGATGATCAGTTTTGCCAAGTTTCATCTTAATAATATGTCCCAAAGTATGTTCACAGTGTTTGGACAAAGAAGGTTTCTCATATAATTTAACCATGATGACGTTTCTTTTGCGGTTCAGAAAACATTAGAATCAATTGAAGACATAAATTGCATAAGTTGAGGGTATTGATGCTTTTAAGTTTATTTAAAGAGTTTTGGTAAGTACGGAATATTGTTTTCACAGGGCCGGCCCCCGACTTTCTCCGACATCCTCTCCCCCTCCCCCTCCCCTTCCCCCAGCCCACTCCCACCGTACGTTACTTGCTCCGAATGTCCCCCAGCTTACACAATCCTCTACATTCACAGGGCCGACCCCCGACATCCTCTGCCCCTCCCCTCCCCCAGCCCACTCCCCCCGTATGTTACTTACTCCGAATGTCCCCCAGCTTACACAATCCTCTACATTCACAGGGCACACTGACAGCGAAGAAGTACTCGGCCAGCTCATGGGACGTCGTTGTCAACGAATATTTCGGGACTCCTTCAAAACAGGGCTACAGTGGAGGTACGGGCAGAACATCAGTGTCCTCGGGTTAAACTAGCAGTAGGCCGGGTATCCCGCAACCTGTGCCGGTCACAAGGCCCACTTACTGGTCCGGGGTTTTGTGACTTGGTGGTTGTGTGTCTTTGTACCCCGACGGCGAGGATCGTTACTCACAGCATATCAATCATGTCATGTCAGGTCCACACTCGATTATTTACAGGTCACAGTCATATAATATTTGATCTAGTGGTAGAGCGTCTACCCGGAGAGCGGAAGGTCCGGGGTTCGATCCCCGGCCGCTTCATATCAAAAGACGTTAAAAGATGGTACTTGTTGTTACCCTACCTGGTCGGCTCGGAATCAGACACACAGGTGCAGGCGCGTGACGTTACTCTATCTCCGAGGATGCAGACCCAGACACATGTTACTGTATCTACTACAGACACGTCCTCATACTTCCACAAAGACAACAAGGTTTTCCGTACACGGCCACGTGGTCTTATATGTTGTGTCTGTTCTCATTCCAGGTGCAATGGCCGGACTTGGTGTTGCCATGGTGATTATTGGACTCTGTATAGGCTTTGGTATCCTATTCGGCATATACAAGATAAGAGGTGGTACCTTCACCAACAGCTTCTCGCCGAAAACATTTACAGAGAAGGAGATGGAGTGATGGATGCTTGGGCTTCTGTCGAACAGTTTACTTTGTGTTAGGAATAGAAACAGTAGGCGTCCACCGTCGGTCACACGTACATCCGGGCACACATACATGGGTTAGGGTGTGTTCCATTTCATGCGGGGACGTTAAACACTACATATGTCATAATGGTATAGGAAATAAAACTTAATACTTTATATTTTTTTCAGACAGAAAGACCTAAATGTTTTTTTGTTTTTTTTGTGAGATCCATAGATTGCTCCAACCAAACATATGTTTTCTCTCTTGCATATAAGGATCACATCCCTAATGTTTAACGATGTTCGGGGTAATGTAGATACCTTGACGTCTCTGTCTCAGTGGGCGACGTGTTTATGTACTATATTTAAAAAAATAAAAATTATAAACAATAAGTAGTATACGTATTGTTATATGCTCAACGGCAAAGGTAACCGAGATCATAATATTATGCATAGCCATCATTCCAAGAAGCCCCTGTCTTCAAGATTCAGAGGCTGCAGGTGTTTTAGAATTTCCGAATGCATGTACTATTAATCTCATCAATAAAGAAAATCAGTCAGTCAATGTTTGTGTGTATCATTTAAACACGTGGTGAAATGACTGTTTACATTCCGGCATGGTTAGATAAGTGGAAACATTGTAGGTGTGGCTTTCGTGTTATGCGTATTTCGACATATCAAGCTGCCTGGCCAGTTTCACTACGTGATTCATGTGTGCACAGTTTCAGAACTGATATAGCTACAAAACTATGTCTTATGTATCGCCATCCTATGTGATCACGGTTACTTTCACCTTTCATAATACAGTAAACTACGGTTATAACGAACTCAAATGGACCACTGATTTAAGTTCGTTATAACCGTTGTTCGTTATAAGCACACATACAACATCTATAGAGCAAATGGCGGGGACCAAAAACTAAGTTCGTAATGTCCGTCATTCGTTATAAGCGTGTTCGTTATAAATGTATTTTACTGTAGATAGATTGGCCATGCTTGACTCGCCTACGCGTGGTGGCAGTGTGCCTGCTGCCTTCATCACCGTGATAGAGCATCCATTACATTAGAGGTGTGGCATGTTAGAGGTGTATGTAGAGCTTATCATGTTCAACTGTCTCTCTGATCTTAGTATTAATCTTAGTCCTCATCGTAATCGTAGGCGACTAATTAGCAGGTACAGCATTGTCAAAGGCTTCGTCGTCATCTTGTGGATAGAAATCAAGACACAATGTCCATTGTTCCTAATGCCAATCTTCTATGGTTGTAAAAAATATGATTTAAAAAAAAATCTTTTACATATTTTACCAATTTTCTTGATGATTTTGATGATATATATACGTCACTGTATGTGATATGTTGTTAAATGTGTTCTGCTTTTCTACTTTGAACGGTTTCCAGACAAACAGTATTTATCAGTAATTATGTTACTGTAAGTGTTTTTATTTTTCAAAAAAGGCCATTCAGGATCACTACTCGTTTTATTACCACTTCAAAAAAGGCCATTCAGGATCACTACTCGTTTTATTATCTTTTCTAAAAAGGCCATTCAGGATCACTAATCGTTTTATTATCGCTTCAAAAATGGACATCCAGAATCACTACTCGTTTTATTACCGCTTCAAAAAAGGCCATTCAGAATCACTACTCGTTTTATTACCGCTTCAATAAAGACCATTCAGGATCACTTCTCGTTTTATTACCGCTTCAAAAAAGGCCATTCAGGATCACTACAGCACACCTATCCGGCATAACGGTATTTATCATCTAATGACCAGTGTTATCGGTGCGATAAACTAGTTTGATAAACTTGGTGTCACGATCCGATAAATATGCAAATGAGGACATCAAGGAGAAATTATTTCTGATAAGTCATTCATCGATGCGATGTCCCTTGCTCAATGGTGTATTGTCTAGCGTTTAATTCAGACAACCGTTCCTTAATGGTTAGATGTTTTCGTTAACAAAATTGACAGCAGATCACGTGGTACTATGAACAATATAACTGTATAGGCGTAATGATCACTTTCTGAAGTTTATTCAGTGAAATTATTTCTTTAATTTTGATTATTTCAAGAATGATTTAATATGATGTATTTGTGTCATAGTGTGACAAATAAGCAGTAACAAATATGTAAAAGGCGAGCTGTATGCACATGTCCTAATTCCGAACATAGGCTATTTACGTCACGGAAACAACCGCTCCCTCATATATCCACACGTATGTAGTAAACATGATAGGACATGCGTCCTATGGTTATGATAATCATAATATATCTAAATATACCGCTTTAAAATTGTAAATTGTATCTGTTGTTTCTTATTGTTGGACAAGTGGTGGTCTTAGCTGCATATTCCGGTAGCGATATTAAGTTCAGTTTTCTTCGATATATAATGTTGTTCAATTACCATACATATTTATTTCAATCGTTTTGAAATAAACTTGTGCTTTGAAAATGGGCGTTGTGAGTTCTTTGTCATTGTGGTATTTAGGCGGTATGATAACCAAGTGGCGAAAGTGTATGCTCGTCACACATAAGGGCTGGGTTCGATTCCCGAAAATGATATTATGGTAATCTCCGCCATGATAAAACCTTACTAATTTACTCACTGTGGTTTTGTTCACGGAGCCGTATATCACAGCGTGTCAGCCAGATATGACAGGAAAGCCCAAAGTGGTGCTGACAAACCAAGAATCATTATCAGGGCAAATCTGGGATTCGAACCCTCGATCATAGATTTCTGGCACACCTAAGGGACTTAACCCTGCAGAGCAAATTACGGCGCCTTACACGACTTGGCCAACCGTGCCTGCCTCCCAAGTCGCTTTGAACAGTATTTCAGTTATATCACGGCGTGTGATATTCATAAAAGATTAATTGGATTCTGATGCGACAAAGGGAGGCAATTCTACATGGTGCGGCCCTTGACGCGTTAGCAATACGCACAATCTATTCAGCGGAGAAGGATGTTACTGATCCATAATTTTGATCATATGGCCAAAGGGACGAAACGGCGAAAACCAAGCGAATTCCTTCCCGACGCATGTTGGTTGGTTGGTTTGTTGTTTAACGCCGCACTCAGCAATATCCCAGCTATATGACGGCGGTCTGTAAATAATCGAGTCTGGACCAGACAATCCAGTGATTGCTTATATGAGCATCGATCCACGCAATTGGGATCGATGACATGTATCAACCAAGTCAGCGAGCCTGACCACCCGATCTCGTTAGTCGCCTTTTACGACAAGCATAGTCACCCCGACGCATGTATCGATACTAGCGCCATGCCACGGGTTACGGAGAATCAGAGAAACCAGGCTTTAGGACCACTGCGTGCTGGCCAGGCTGAATGGATGGCTGCCAATGTTTTTAATGTCAACGTAAGAACCATCGACAGATTACAGTATGATACCAGGCCACCAACAGCATGCGACCCGTGAAGATCCGGGGTAGAATTGGTCTTCAGCAACCCATGCTTCCCGTAAAAGGCGACTATGCTTGTCGTAAAAAGGCGACTAACGGGATCGGATGGTCAGGCTCGCTGACTTGGTTGATGCATTTCATCCATCCCAATTGCGTGGATCGATGCTCATGATATCAATTACTGGAATGTCTGGTCCAGACTCGATTATTTACAGACCGCCGTCATATAACTGGAATATTGCTGAGTGCGGCGTTAAACAACAAACCAACAACAACAAGCAACAGCATGCAGTCTTCCTAAAGCCGGTTTTTCTGATTCTTCGTAAGTCTTGGCGTGCGCTAGTATCGATACAAGAATGTTGGATCCACTTATTGGGGTGGCTTTTTTTTCAGAAAAAAAATCAGGGAAACACAAGTGCATTTTGATTTTCATGGAAAGCATTCGGGACTTGGTAGTTTGTTAAGCTGCGTTTTGGAGACCCATCATATTTGTAGCACTTCTTGGTCGTTGACATTAAATTTTCACACAGACCATTGTCAAAAACGAGATACCTCAAAAGGAAACGTTCGTGAATCGCAGCGAGTTAGACGACTCGGCCACCTGTGCCCCCCGAGTAGAGAATATAATGCCTTATGCTGAAGCAACTCATCCGGTTAAAGTCCACCCAAAGCTGTTCTGCTCAGAATTCAGAATCCAAATCTTTACAAACCACTTAAACTATATTTGAATCACTAGGCTATCCCACCTCCCCAAATTGGATTTGAGTGAGTGAGTGAGTGAGTGAGTATGGTTTTACGTCGCTTTTAGCAATATTCCTGCAATATCACGGCGGGGGACACCAGAAATGGGCTTCGCACATTGTACCCATGTCGGGAATCGAACCCGCGTGAATTGGTTGAGCATATAGAGATCAGCTGCGCAGCATGGTTTTTACAACAGTAACTTAGTTGATCCTTCCGCCAGCATGTCACGCCCCCGTGGCTCATGCTCAAACATGATCGAGTTCTGAACTCAATTTAATTTTAAATAGGAAAACGGACCAAAACATATTAAAAGTAATAACTCACGACTTTCCAATTTCACACACAAAGACACTGATGGAGCAAGACTCATCCCGGCATGGTACTGATGGGGCGTATTGGAAACCCGGTTTCGCCATCTCCAACGTGTGAATACACAATGCCATTTAGAAAGTGGTCAAATGTAACACATGTTATATTTGGGATAACAATGTCTTAGTAAAGCACAGATTCTCGTACTTTTGGGGGGTTAAGTCCCGTCCGGGATTCGAACCCACACTTGCCAAGGTGAGGCACCTAATCGCCAGCACACAAGGTCAGCGATCCAACCCACTGAGCCACCGAGGCTTCCACAAAAATGAAAGTCCGACAACTAGACTACGAGAATCTGTTCTTTACTATGAAAGTGTTATCCCAAATATAACATTTGTTACATCTCCAGCGTGGTTAGATTCCCTCATCATCTTCCTGTTTTTGCAGCTGAACATTTGTCCATTTTGCACGCCCCGAGGACGGTAGATAAACATGACCACGAAGCGGTTATCGTTGCAGATTCCAAGGCAACAATTAAAGCTATAGTGAGTGAGTTAGTATGGTTTTACGCCGCTTTTAGCAATATTCCAGCAACATCACGGCGGGGGCACCAGAAATGGGCTTCACACATTGTACCCATGTCGGGAATCGAACCAGGGTCTTCAGCGTGACGAGCGAACGCTTTAACCACTAGGCTACCCGACCGCCCCATTAAAGCTATAGAAGCTGGTGCAATGGACTCGTGGATGATGGTTTTGTATGAAATATTAACATAAGACATTTTGTTAGGACAAACAACATTGCATGGGATAGTGTTTGGATTACAGCACATGTTGGAATACGTGGAAAGATATCGCAGATTTTTTAACCAAATCTAGATTACAAACTCACGTAGATGTATTAGGAAATTCGACCAAGCGCTGAAGATTTTGAAACTGTTTACTCAAAGTCTATTTCAAAAAGTTGTCAGCAAGTGTGGGATGCTGGCACGACCCGCCGAAATAAGTACAAACTTTGGCCATCTTTAAAATCTGGTCATAAATGTTGCCGTCGTAGAAGGCGTGATGAGGTCTCTCTGACCCGGCCCCGCCTGTGGACTGAATGCCTACAGGAGTATCACCGATAAGCGATCTCTTCTATAAGTAAAATGTGGCCATTGAAATTTGGAGACGCCTGAAAATGTGGAACACTACCTAATTAAAAGCTCTGGGCGTAATAATATAAGAGAAAAACTCACAAGTGCTGTGCTTGAAGTCGGCGATACATTTCTATAGCTACAGTTTTGTCTTTTCATCGTGAAAAATATTATGTAATTTAGCTTAAATATTAGCTAAACATGGCTTAGTTCGATTATTTTGAATCATTTTAACATTTTATTCTCTCTCTTCTACTTGTTTTATCGAACGAGTATTTAATGTTTCAGAAATGAAAGTGTCTGTTTAAGGTTTTCATTCATATCAAGTAGCAGAGGTTTTTCTTCTGTCTTTTATTTTTTCCCATCATTAATGTTCATCTATACGCGCATCCAAATGATAATAACTTATGCTGACGTCTCATTGATGTTATCTAAACGATTTGGCGATGGCTTTTTTGCGCTATAATACTTTATGATTCTTATTAAGTAAAGCCAATGTATTGGGCGCAAATACGCCTTCTGTGGGCCCGCGTCGCACTTACACTAAAACACCACCGGCAACAACGATTCTGCAAGGACAAAGGGACACAACTCTAGATCTGTATGGTGGATTCGGGCCACAGGACGCCGTGGTTGGTCACGAAAAAAGCCCGAAGGTGATGTTGCCCACTAGATAATCCAAGAGGGCAGAATGTTTCTCTGTCGTGTAATCTAAATGTTAAACTGATCCCCGTCACATGTGGAGACTCACTACTTTAAACAACCAAAGCACAGAAGGATGACAGCAGCACCACGTGCACATATCAGCTGCCACACAGAGTCACACTCATGGTGTTCATTCACATTTATAAATAGATAATTGCCAATCAAGGTGAATAGTTGGTAAATAGCAATACATTAATACATGATTAACTAAAAAAGCAAGTTAGTAAGGAATTAAGTAGCCATGACCCCAGTCGTATGTAAAGTTTTGAAGGAGCTCTGAATGATTTTTGTGCTGTTTTTTTATAATTTCTTCATTTTTCTAATCCATTCATAAGATAAAAAATGTATAATTTGTTAATTTCTAACATTCAGTGAGCTCCTTTTGTATAAATTGCAATTTAGGTGGATATTTCTTATTTCTAAATGTGAAAATTATTCATTTTGAGAACAATAACCATACGTTTTAAAGGACTTTTATTTTTCGATAATTAATCCAAAAGATTGGGATATTGTTATCGAGCTTGGCCTATGCGGGATTTCAGTTATATTAGCTTAAAGAAAAGTTACATATGATGCAGTGACGTTTCGAAATTGTGTATGGAGACTTGATATGTTTAAAACTAGATATATGTTCATATAAAACTATCAGCCTTAATATTTAAGAAAAACATCATATTTTTCTTTTTCATGCCTTAAGCAGAATCTTTTTTCACAATCGGTTTCCTGGGACAGTATATTTATTTCGAAAACATCCCTGCTCAAGAGCATATGTTTGGGCTAACAAATCTGGAAACACAATACCTTTTGATCAGAGCCCAAGATCATAGATTCCTGGCACGCCTAAGGGACGTAACCCTCACAAATAGTTTATAATTGATCAGCAGTAAGTTTTAATTTTATAATGTGTTTCACAACTGTCGATAGTGTAGGGCGGTTTCGATGTTAAAACACGTTAGAAGTGACTTGTTGTTACCCTGCGTAGTGCTTGGCATTAAGGGGGAAGAAACGACTGGTCGGCTCGGAGTCAATACATTGTGTCTGAGTGGGGTATCCATGTTTAATTGCGGCATAGTATCTCAGTAGAACTATAGAACCGATATTAGTCCGGACTACTACAAGCACGCACTCACGTACATACACGCACGTGGCTATATAAGTGCAATTCCTCTGAACATTTCAACTCACCTTCGAACACGGGTATGGTGCTGACAAACCTAGAAACATAATCAGGGCGAACCAGGATTCGAACCCACAATCATAGGTTTCTAGCGTGCCGAAGGGACGCAATTCTGCACAGGGAATCGCGGCGCCAAATACGACTGGGCCACCCGTGCCGCCTCTTAACATACGATAGTGATAGACAATGTTCATAAACTACCTGGCAAAACAAAGTGTACACTCCTGTATGATAGTGGCTAAATATTAAACAAAAGAAGAAATGGTTGTTTGAAGGAGTGAGTGAGTGAGTGAGTGAGTGAGTATGGTTTTACGCCGCCTTTAGCAATATTCCAGCAATATCACGGCGGGGGACACCAGACATAGGCTTCACACGTTGTACCCATGTCGGGAATCGAACCCGGGTCTTATGCGTGACGAGCGAACGCTTTAACCACTAGACTACCCGACCGCCCCTTGTTTGAAGGATGAATACGGGAATTATAGTTGTATTTGGGGCCTAAAATGTGCAATGGCCGACCGACTGTTTTCAGCCTGGTAACGTTTTGATAATGTTTGTATTTTACCGGTCAGTTGTCGAATAGCCTCCATTTTCCTTTCAGGTAACACTGTTTTTATCAAACTAAAAGTAAATCACATAATATAGAGTGGCACCTCATTAGTCCGAGCCTCGTTAATCCGGAAACCCCTCATTCCGGACGGTAGGTTTTGGGAACGTATATACAGCATTAAAGGGACAATACGAGGGTTTGTTTGTTAGTTTGCTTGTGTGTTTAAGGTCGCGCTCAGCAATATTCCAGCAATATGGCGACGGCCTGTTAATAATCAAGTCTGGACCAGAGAATCCAATGGTTGATATTGTAAGCACCAATCCACTCCATCGGGGTAGGATGACACGCTATTAACCAAGCCTGACCACCCGATCCATTTGGTTTACGGCCAGCACAGGTTGTTATGGATCTATGCTAACCTGGAATATACACGGGGAGAAAATACAAGGTACCCAGATTAATTATCTGGGTATTTGTTAATCCACATGATTCTCCAGGACAGGCACAGTCCGGGTTAACGAGGTTCCTGTCTTCCACCAGACCGCTTCAGTGCCGTCTCGTCATGGCTGTACGTACCTTTTGCGATGATTGCAGAAGTTGAGCACACGCGTGATAACGAGATCAATGTTATCAGTCGTACCAAGGCAATGTACAACCTTCTATTGTCAATCTCACACTGACCTACTTATCTGGACTGTCCGATCAACAGGTACGTTACTTTGACGTGATGTTAGTTTCAGTACAAAACGAATTATGGTTGCTATTCCATACATTATTATGAAGCTTATATACCATCTTAAGTAACGTAATTTAATCCTTAACCTTGGATGTTTTCACGCATTGTGCTCAGAGGCAAGTATATATGTGTTCAAAACTGTGCGTGTGACACCAGGTAGACACGTTCAAGTCGATTGTGAGTTTGTGGTCCATATATTATATATTTTCCAATGAGCATTCATATCTAACTTGATGAGGTGATATGGGTTTAACGTCGCGTCCAAGATTATTGCACTTATATAGCGACGTGCATGTACGTGTGTGGCTGCTTGTGCTAGTCCGGACTGATGCCGATTTATAGTGCTAGCTCACTGAGAAACCATGCCACAGTTTAACATGAATACCTCACTCAGACACAGTACACTGACTCCGAGCCGACCAGTCCTTGTTTTAGCCCCTAATGCCGAGCGCCAGACACGGTTACAACAAGTACCATCTTTTAACGTCTTTTGGTATGACGCGGCCGGGGATCGAACCCCGGACCTTCCGCTCTCCGGGCGGACCCTCTACCTACATATATAGGATGTAGATATATTATATAGCCAACTTACATATTTATATATATTTATATATATTTATATATGTGTGTGTGTGTGTGTGTGTGTGTGTGTGTGTGTGTGTGTGTGTGTGTGTGTGTGTGTGTGTGTGTGTGATGTTATACATTGTACAATGTACTGTGAATGTTTACTTTGTATCTGCATGTATGTATAGTAATTTAAGGGGCGTTGTGGTAGCCTAGTTGTTAAATTGTTCGTCACACAAAAGGCCCGGGTTCAATTCCCCTCATGGGTACAATATGTGAAGCCCATTTTGGTGTCTCCTGCACTGATATTGCTATTCCATTGCTAAAATCATACTCACTCACTATGTAATATAATATATATAAGTTTATGCGTACCCAAATAGGTGTATATTACGCAAATATTATTAATATTACTACTATTCATTTTACATCAGTATATAAGGGAATTTCTCCATTTATTCAAATATGTGAGAGAGAAAGCGCGTTTGTGTGTGTGAATGACTGTCTCTGTGTGGATAGGTGCTTGTGGGTGCCTCTGTGTCAGTGAGTGTGTATGTTTGTGTGACTGTGTGAATGCGTTTGTGTGTGTGCGTGTGTGTTTGCGGGTGTTCCTGTGTCTGTGAGTATGTTTGTGTGACTGTGTGAATGTGCTTGTGTTTGCGTGTATGTGTGTGTGTGTGTGACTGTGTGCTTCTGTATGTGTAAGTGTGTGTGTCTGTCTATCTGTGTGTGTTTGTGGCTGTCCCTGTGTCTGTGAGAGTGTATGTTTGTGTGACTGTGTGTGAGTGTGTGTGAGTGTGCTTGCGTGTGTGCTTGCGTGTGTGGTGACTGTGTGCCTCTGTGTGAGTGAGTGAGTGTGTGTTTATGTATGTCGGTGTGTGCGTGTGTAAGTTTGTACATGTGTTTGTGTGCTAATGTGTGTGAGCGAGAGTGTGTGGGTCTCTGCGTGTGTGTGAGTGTGTACTGTGTGTGTGCTGTGTTCGTGTGCTTATGTGTGTGAGTGTATTCGTCATTGTGTTGGTAAGTGTGTGTGTGTGTGTGTGTGTGTGTGTGTGTGTGTGTGTGTGTGTGTGTGTGTGTGTGTGTGTGTATTAGTGTGTGTGTGTGTGAGAGAGAGAGAGAGAGAGACAGACAGACAGACAGAGAGACAGAGACAGAGAGAGTGAGAGTTGGGTTTAACGCCGCTTTTAACAGTATTCCAGTTATATCGCGGCGTGTCAGCTTAATGTGGGAGGAAAGCCCGAAGTGATGCAGGTCTTAGACGTTTACCACTTCGGTGAAACCCACGAGCACGGGTATGGTGCTTACAAACCTAGAAACACCATTGGGGCGAACCGGGATTCGAACCCACAATCAAAGGTTTCTGGTGTGCCAAAGGGACGCAACTCTGCACAGCGAATCGAGGAGCCTTAGACGACTGGACCACCCGTGCACCCCTGTGGAATGAAAAATACGTGTTGCGCAGTGGAATGTTAACTATTAACCAAAGTGACAGATGTACGTCCTATCGCGACGACATCTCAAGCCAAAAGTGACGTTAACTCAAGCAAGTCCGATCTCCTCGCTCCGCACGTGCTCGAACAGCCCGTGCCATGCAATACTTTTTTCCGCGAAGCAAGATGCGTTTCCGCTATCTGTTCCCTCTTTGGCATGTCTTCAAACCAATACGTTTCGTACAGTGGTTCTCCGATCATCATGCTGAATGTATACAGACAATTCGTTAAAAAATCATTGTTCGGTTGTAGAATGTTGAGTCTCCTGATCGTGTGTCTTCTCTGTGTGCCGGCTGTGTCCGTACTACATGGGAGGGATAACGGCGTGTGTACTGTGCCCCAAAACACCAACACAGGTAAGTGTGTGTGTGAGTGTATGTATATGTGTGATAGCGTGTGTGTATGTGTGTGTATGTGTATGTGTGTATGTGAGTGTATATGGGTGTGTGAGCATAGTTCATAGAGAGTGTGTGAATGTGTGAATGTGAATGTGAATGTCAGTGTGAGTATGTGTATATGTGAGCGTGTGTGTATGTGTGTATGTGTGTATGTGTGTATGTGAGTGTATATGTATATGTGTGAGCATAGGTCATGGCGAGTATGTGAGTGAGTGTAGCCCCTTGTGTATGTGTGGCTAAATGTGCGTCATGTGCGGTAGATGCATCCCATCGATCCCAATTACGTGAATCGATGAACATGATTTAATCACCGGATTGTCTGGTCCAGACTCGATAATTTACCGACCGTCCTTATATAGCTGGAATACTGCTGAGTGCGGCGTTAAACAAACAAACAAACAAACTTGTGAGGGTAACTCATTGTAAGAGTATGTACTGCGTGTTCGAGTTCAGCCCATTGTGTGAGTAGTTTAGTCTGTGTAGCCCATTGTGTGTGTGTGTGTGTGTGTGTGTGTGTGTGTGTGTGTGTGAGAGAGAGAGAGAGAGTGTATCCCGTTGTGTGTGTGTTTGTGTGAGTATATCCCATTGTGTGTCTGAGTGTATCCCATTGTGTGTCTGAGTGTATCCCATTGTGTGTCTGAGGTATCCCATTGTGTGTCTGAGTGTATCCCATTGTGTGTCTGAGTGTATCCCATTGTGTGTCTCAGTGAGTATATCCCACTGTGTGTCTGAGTATATCCCATTATGTGTCTGAGTGTATCCCATTGTGTGTCTGAGTATATCCCATTGTGTGTCTGAGTGTATCCCATTGTGTGTCTGAGTGTATCCCATTGTGTGTCTGAGTGTATCCCATTGTGTGTCCGAGTTCATCCCATTGTGTGTCTGAGTGTATCCCATTGTGTGTCTGAGTGTATCCCATTGTGTGTCTGAGTGTATCCCACTGTGTGTCTGAGTATATCCCATTATGTGTCTGAGTGTATCCCATTGTGTTTGAGTATATCCCATTGTGTGTCTGAGTGTATCCCATTGTGTGTCTGAGTGTATCCCATTGTGTGTCTGAGTGTATCCCATTGTGTGTCTGAGTGTATCCCATTGTGTGTCTGAGTGTATCCCACTTTGTGTCCGAGTGTATCCCATTGTGTGTCTGAGTGTATCCTACTGTGTGTCCGAGTGTATCCCATTGTGTGTCTGAGTATATCCCATTGTGTCTGAGTCATTTTAACGCTATAAGATTGTCTTCAATACTGTCCTGCAAGGATCTTCTGATACAACATCAACTGGCTTTGTACGTACATCATTTTTGTTACGAAGTGAATTGTTACTTTGACTTTGTATGTTATGTAACTCCGTTGTTTACGGGCCTAAGGCCTTTCATACAATATTGAGTTGAGTTGAGCTGAGCTGAGCTGAGCTGAGTCATAACGTCACTTCCGGGTGTATCAGTTTTATTGATGTAAGTCAATATATACCTGCCCAGGCCCGACTCGCCCTAAGCTTCCGCCCGTCTACTCCGTGCACACTGAGTGCAACATCTTGAACAACGACTACACCATCGACACTCAGGAATGGTACGACGGCAGCAACAACAGGGCCCTGCTGTCACAGACGTCCGATGGCCAGAGGGCTCTGGGCTACTACGACTATAACCACAATGAGCTGCTTGTCGTCAACCCCCAACCTGGTAAGGCGAGAGGCATGACGGGCGATGGAAGGGGTTTGAGAGTGGGGTAGTGGTGGAGAGGGGGCTGGGGAGAGGCATGACGGGCGATGGAAGGGGTTTGAGAGTGGGGTGGTGGTGGAGAGACGGGCGATGGAAGGGGTTTGAGAGTGGGATGGTGGTGGAGAGACGGGCGATGGAAGGGGTTTGAGAGTGGGGTGGTGGTGGAGAGGGGGCTGGGGAGAGGCATGACGGGCGATGGAAGGGGTTTGAGAGTGGGGTAGCGGTGGAGAGACGGGCGATGGAAGGGGTTTGGGAGTGGGGTAGTGGTGGAGAGGGGGCTGGGGAGAGGCATGACGGGCGATGGAAGGGGTTTGAGAGTGGGGTAGTGGTGGAGAGGGGGCTGGGGAGAGGCATGACGGGCGATGGAAGGGGTTTGAGAGTGGGGTAGCGGTGGAGAGACGGGCGATGGAAGGGGTTTGGGAGTGGGGTAGTGGTGGAGAGGGGGCTGGGGAGAGGCATGACGGGCGATGGAAGGGGTTTGAGAGTGGGGTAGTGGTGGAGAGGGGGCTGGGGAGACGTATGGCGGGGACGGAAGGGGTTTGAGAGTGGGGTAGTGGTGGAGAGGGGGCTGGGGAGAGGCATGACGGGCGATGGAAGGGGTTTGAGAGTGGGGTAGTGGTGGAGAGGGGGCTGGGGAGAGGTATGACGGGCGATGGAAGGGGTTTGAGAGTAGGGTAGTGGTGGAGAGGAGGACTTGTCATCGGCGGTAATGTCATGATGCTTGAGATCTACAGAAACACTAGACAGAAACCCTATACTGAAACACTACACTGAAACACTATGCAGAAACACTGTAGTGAAACACTACACAGAAACACTACACAGAAACATTGTACAGAAACGCCATACAGAAACACTATACAGAAACACCATACAGAAACACCATACAGAAACACCATACAGAAACGCTATACAGAATCACAATATAGAAACACTATACAGAAACACCATACAGAAACACCATACAGAAACACGATACAGAAACGCTATACAGAATCACAATATAGAAACACTATACAGAAACACCATACAGAAACACCATACAGAAACGCTATACAGAATCACAATATAGAAACACTATACAGAAACACCATACAGAAACACCATACAGAAACGCTATACAGAATCACAATATAGAAACACTATACAGAAACACTACACAGAAACACCATACAGAAACGCTATACAGAAACGCTATACAGAAACGCTATACAGAAACACCATACAGAAACGCTATACAGAAACGCTATACAGAAACACAATATAGAAACACTATACAGAAACACTATACAGAAACACTATACAGAAACACTATACAGAAACACAATAAAGAAACACTACACAGAAACGCTATACAGAAACACTATACAGAAACACTACACAGAAACACGATACAGAAACACTATACAAAAACACTACACAAAAACACGATACAGAAACGCTACACAGAAACACTATACAGAAACACGATACAGAAACACGATACAGAAACACTATACAAAAACACGATACAGAAACACCATACACAAACACGATACAGAAACAATATACAAAAACACGATACAGAAACACTATACAAAAACACGATGCAGAAACACCATACAGAAACACGATACAGAAACACCATACAGAAACACGATACAGAAACACTATACAAAAACACGATACAGAAACACTATACAAAAACACGATACAGAAACACTTTACAAAAACACGATACAGAAACGCTATACAGAAACACGATACAGAAACACTATACAAAAACACGAAACAGAAACACGATACAGAAACACTATACAAAAACACTACACAGAGACACAATACAGAAACACTATACAAAAACACCATACATAAACACGATACAGAAACACTATACAAAAACACTTTACAGAAACGCGATACAGAAACACCATACAGAAACACGATACAAAAACACTATACAGAAACGCTATACAAAAACACGATACAGAAACACTATACAGAAACACTATACAAAAACACGATACAGAAACACCATACAGAAACACGATACAGAAACACTATACAAAAACATGATACAGAAACACTTTACAAAAACATGATACAGAAACACCATACAAAAACACGATACAGAAACACTATACAAAAACACGATACAGAAACACTATACAAAAACACTATACAGAAACGCTATACAGAAACACGATACAGAAACACTATACAAAAACACGATACAGAAACACGATACAGAAACACTATACAAAAACACTACACAGAAACACGATACAGAAACACCATACAGAAACACTATACAGAAACACTATACAAAAACACTACACAGAAACACGATACAGAAACACTATACAAAAACACTATACAGAAACACGATACAGAAACACTATACAAAAACACTATACAGAAACACGATACAGAAACACTATACAAAAACACTACACAGAAACACGATACAGAAACACTATACAGAAACACTATACAAAAACACTACACAGAAACACGATACAGAAACACTATACAAAAACACTATACAGAAACACGATACAGAAACACTATACAAAAACGCTATACAGAAACGCTATACAGAAACACGATACAGAAACACTATACAAAAACACTATACAGAAACGCTATACAAAAACACGATATAGAAACACTATACAGAAACACTACACAGAAACACGATACAGAAACACTATACAAAAACACTACACAGAAACACGATACAGAAACGCTATACAGAAACACGATACAGAAACACGATACAAAAAACACTATACAAAAACACTACACAGAAACACGATACAGAAACACGATACAGAAACACTATACAAAAACACTACACAGAAACACGATACAGAAACGCTATACAGAAACATGATACAGAAACACTACACAAAACACGATACAGAAACGCTATACAGAAACACTACACACAAACACTACACAGAAACACTACACAGAAACACTACACAGAAACACTATACAGAAACACTACACAGAAACACTACACAGAAACACTATACAAAAACACTACACAGAAACACGATACAGAAACGCTATACAGAAACACTATACAGAAACACTACACAAAACACGATACAGAAACGCTATACAGAAACGCTATACAGAAACACTACACAGAAACACAATGACGTCGGATCACCTGATGACAACTCGTTAATATTCGATAGTTTCCGGAATAGGAGTGGGTTTAAACGTTGTTGTCACTAACATTGCCTTTAGAATGTCTTTTTTCGAGATACTCGATGTCATATGCTTTATACATTTTTTAATCCCATGTTTGTAGTTTACTGTACCTCTCCTTCATCACTTTGTTCCCCAGCTTCCGGATACCCAACGTGCAAAGTCCAGAATCTCGCCACATCCGACAACAACTTCTTGTTTGGGTTGCAGAGGTTCCGAAATGGATCGGATGGGACATATCCGGCAGGTAGCGCTTTTGAGTTTGGCGGGAATATCCCCGAGCAGTACCTGGGTCACGTGACGGTGAGAGGCATCCAGACTGACGCGTGGAAGTCCTGTGTGTACTGGAAGTCACTGGACGCCACCATGAACGTCACGTGGTACTACACAGGTCAGTGGAGGCGATTCAGTGGTCAATTAAATGTACAATGCGTTTGCGAAATTAGAATACAATGTACAAAACATTTTTTCTCTTCATATCCTGTATGAAGGCCACATAGCCAAAAGAACAGTGAGTGAGTGGTTGGGTGGGTGGTTGGGTGGGTGGGTGAGTGAGTGAGTGTTTGTGTACATGGGTGGGTGAGTGAGTGAGTGAGTGCATGTGTGATCGAGTGAGTGCTTGTGTGAGTGAGTGAGTGAGTGTTTGTGTGCATGGGTGGGTGAGTGAGTGAGTGAGTGCATGTGTGATCGAGTGAGTGCTTGTGTGAGTGAGTGAGTGAGTGGGTGGGTGAGTGAGTGAGTGAGTGAGTGAGTGAGTGAGTGAGTGAGAAAGGCAATGTCTCTGTCATATTGTGACTTGAACAAATATTATACTGAAAACCTGCCGTCGAAGGACAGTAAACAACTAGAAATATTTGAAAAAAGAAAATATTAAAAGGTTTCGATTATTAAACACAGTCAACGAAAAGAAATACGATATTGATTCCCAGTTTGGCCACCATACTGGGGACCGTGGGGACTGATAGTACATCTGCTACCTACATGATACGACAGGGGGATTTATGCTACACCTTTACTTGGGATGGCCAGTGAAGAATTTGGAAGTAGATGACTTCGGCTATGTCAAAATTCGGAGTGAAGAGATAGTCATTCTTAAAATCTATTACTGTTGGGGAGTTATTTCAAACCAAGTGGTACATGAGAACAACTTCAGACTAACTAAAAAACTCTACTAATATATTTTTTGCCACTATTTCGATAACCTGCTACCCCATACAATGGAACCTGTCGTGTTGATTTCCAAGAAATAAATTGGTTGCCTCTAAGCAGTGCCATATGCAACAGGTTGCGATGAAATAAAACACGGATCTATGCGGTATTATATATTTCATCAAGTTTTTTTAGACTATTATTTGTCAAGAGATAAATAATTAATCTTGAATTTAAGTAATAAGTTTAATGTTTGTCACTACCGCTTTTCGGAACGTTCAAAGACAGCGGACCTCTTTGCCGATGTATAAGTACGCCTTCCACGATAGCGGACCTCTTTGCCGATGTATAAGTAGGGCCTTCCACGATAGCGGACCTCTTTGCCGATGTGTAAGTACGCCTTCCACGATAGCGGACCTCTTTGCCGATGTATAAGTACGCCTTCCAAGATAGCTGACCTCTTTGCCGATGTATAAGTACGCCTTCCAAGATAGCGGACCTCTTTGCCGATGTATAAGTACGCCTTCCAGGATAGCGGACCTCTTTGCCGATGTGTAAGCACGCGTTCCAAGATAGCGGACCTCTTTGCCGATGTGTAAGCACGCGTTCCAAGATAGCGGACCTCTTTGCCGATGTGTGAGTACCCGTTCCACGATAGCGGACCTCTTTGCCGATGTGTAAGTACCCGTTCCACGATAGCGGACCTCTTTGCCGATGTGTAAGCACGCGTTCCAAGATAGCGGACCTCTCTACCGATGTGTAAGTACGCGTTCCAAGATAGCGGACCTCTCTACCGATGTGTAAGTACGCGTTCCACGATAGCGGACCTCTTTGCCGATGTGTAAGTACGCGTTCCACGATAGCGGACCTCTTTGCCGATGTGTAAGTACGCGTTCCAAGATAGCGGACCTCTTTGCCGATGTGTAAGTACGCGTTCAAAGATAGCGGAACTCTTTGCCGATGTGTAAGTACGCCTTCCACGATAGCGGACCTCTTTGCCGATGTGTAAGTACGCGTTCCAAGATAGCGGACCTCTTTGCCGATGTGTAAGCACGCGTTCAAAGACAGCGGACCTCTTTGCCGATGTGTAAGTACGCGTTCCAAGACAGCGGACCTCTTTGCCGATGTGTAAGTACGCCTTCCACGATAGCGGACCTCTTTGCCGATGTGTAAGTACGCGTTCCAAGATAGCGGACCTCTTTGCCGATGTGTAAGCACGCGTTCAAAGACAGCGGACCTCTTTGCCGATGTGTAAGTATGCGTTCCAAGACAGCGGACCTCTTTGCCGATGTGTAAGTACGCCTTCCAAAATAGCGGACCTCTTTGCCGATGTATAAGCACGCGTTCCAAGACAGCGGACCTCTTTGCCGATGTGTAAGTACGCCTTCCAAAATAGCGGACCTCTTTGCCGATGTGTAAGTACGCGTTCCAATACAGCGGACCTCTTTGCCGATGTATAAGTACGCGTTCCAATACAGCGGACCTCTTTGCCGATGTATAAGTACGTCTTCAAAAATAGCGGACCTCTTTGCCGATGTGTAAGTACGCCTTCCAAAATAGCGGACCTCTTTGCCGATGTGTAAGTACGCGTTCCAAGACAGCGGACCTCTTTGCCGATGTATAAGCACATGTTCCAAAATAGCGGACCTCTTTGCCGATGTGTAAGTACGCGGTCCAAGATAGCGGACCTCTTTGCCGATGTGTAAGCACGCGTTCCATGAGAGCGCCATTTCTAAAGCGCCCTGTCGTTCTGGTAGATAAACCCTCTGTGTTTTCAATTGTGAGGTAGTTTCTGTATGTTAGCTGCCGCGTATTTATACATTAAAAACCGCTAACGCGCTCGCTTAACAAATACAATTCAGATGCATCTAATTTACAGTTAGACAACCTCATATTTCTATTCCTAAACACAGAAGGTTTATCTCCTTATTTTATAAGAAAGTTAAAGTAGCATCAGATAAAAAACTGTTTGTGTGGTTTTGTATACGTAACATTAACGGGTCAAAGACTGAACAGCCAATTTATTCCATAAGCTCAGAACAACTGGCAGACGGCCTCGAACACCAAACAGGTTCCGGTGCGATGTCATGTGACCGGAAGACGCTACACAGATGCGACAACATCTTATAACTTCGACCACATATACGAATTCTCGGATTATCTCCCCTACATTGACCTTGGTCCAACAGTTTTCGAGGTAAAGCTGTCTCCATCATTACAACGTGTGGTGTCCACTGTCATTGCAGCATTCACCCCCCCAGGCCCTGATACATACAGACAGACACATACACACACACACAAACATACACGTATATGCATTTACCCTGTATGCTGTATCAATGAGTGAGTGAGTATGGTTTTACGCCACTTTTAGCAATATTCCAGCAATATCATGGCGGGGGACACAGAAATGGGCTTCACACTTTGTACCCATGTCAGGAATCGAACCCGGGTCTTCGGCGTGACGAGCGAACGCGCTAACCACTAGGCTACCCGACCGCCCCGCTGTATCAATAAGTTTCGTTAAGAGTATACAGAAGCCAAAGACTACCAACACAAGATGATAAACTTTATATCAGAAGCAAAATAAAGGAAAATGAAAAAAAAGTATATAATTGTATTATGAACAGCTGTACATTTCCCATTTGTCATGATATCAAAGAAACATTAACAGTAATGTGTTCCATTATCCGAGATGTACCAACCAGAATAGTCATTTCTTGACGCCGGCAGACACCACAACATTCAAAGTGTGAAATAGGATGCACATTTTGTAACCTAATCAATATCGATGTATCGTTTCACCTTCATATGTCCATCCTCAGTAAACTTTCAAAAGCAAAACATACCTAATCAGACCTGCCATCCAACAATGTCCTCGCAATGTGACATCCACAAATTATCAACATTTAATATCTGTCATGTCATATTTCAAGAATGACTTCAAGAGCAGAAGTGGACTCAAATGAAACATTTGAATCTATTTGTAAACGAACCTACACTGTATTGTATACACTTTATGTAGTTGAGCATATGGCCTTCGGGCAATACGATCTGAAATGAACTTAACTTGTATTACCTCCTTGACAGGTGCCCGACAACACGATCTGTCCGGGGCGGAATAACACGAAGCCCTTCCCCAAGTACAGTGGTTACTTCAAGATGAAGTCGGAGATGGTAGTGCCGACATCCAACTTCGTCAGCTTTCTATGGGTAAGAGTGTACAGACGCGGGCCCAGAGAGGGTGTGTGTGCGCGCATGCTATGTATGTTAAACTTTGGTTTACACGACCAACAAAAGCAATGTTCCTACTACTTATATGCAAGTTGTATGGTAAATGCACCATCCCCTCCACCAAAACAACTACCCACCCCTGAAAGAACCTTTCCGCAAGAACTGTATCCACGGTCGGAATATTCAAGTATTCTTTTCGATATATGACATCATGATGATGTGAAGGTGTGACGGACACGTCATGCAAATGACATCTACAGTCCGTACATCCTGAGAGACTGAAATGTCCTGGTGATCAACGACGAAAGAGACGAAGTAAAAGAGGTTTGGCGACCGTAAAATTCTCTTAATCGATGTATCGAGGTTATAAATTTTACGTTAATGACGACGTTTCCCTGTATTGATCATAATGACATACGTTAATGACAATGCTTCTCTGTATCTATCATAATGACATACGTTAGTGACTACGTTTCTCTGTATTTATCATAATGACATACGTTAATGACGACGTTTCTCTGTATCTATCATAATGACATACGTTAATGACGATGTGTCTCTGTATTTATCATAATGACATACGTTAATGACGACGTTTCTCTGTATCTATCATAATGACATACGTTAATGACGATGTGTCTCTGTATCTATCATAATGACATACGTTAATGACGATGTGTCTCTGTATTTATCATAATGACATACGTTAATGACGACGTTTCTCTGTATCTATCATAATGACATACGTTAATGACGATGTGTCTCTGTATTTATCATAATGACATACGTTAATGACGACGTTTCTCTGTATCTATCATAATGACATACGTTAATGACGATGTGTCTCTGTATTTATCATAATGACATACGTCCACCGGTAACTCTTGCTGATGGGTTTCACCAAAGTGTAAAAACGTTTTCTCCCGAGACTTTCCTCTCCACTACCCCAGGAAAGCTGAGGTGCCCGACACGAATCGCCCCTGATGCACCCCGACACGACCGAGACACCTCCTTGACATTCCCTGACACGTTTTTGACTCACCCCTGATACGCCCCGACACGCCCCAGACATTACATGGTACGTTTATGGCACGCCCCGACACGAAACTGGCACCTCCCTGACATTCCCTGACAAGTTTATGGGACGCCCCAACACGCCCCGGGTACCTCCCTGACTTTCCCTGACACGTTTATGGCACGCCCCTGACAAGACCTGGATACGCCACTACACGCCCCAGACAACTCCCTGACATTCCGTGGCACCTTTATGGCACGCCCCCATTACGCACTCGATACTACCTGACTTTCCCTGACACGTTTATGGCACGCCCGACACGCACTTGATACGCCCCGACACGCCCCAGGTACCTCTCTGACTTTGCCTGACACGTTTATGGTACGCCCCTGACACGCCCTGGATACGCCACGACACGCCCCAGGCACCTCCCTGACTTTCCCTGACACGTTTATGGCACGCCCCTGACACGCCCAAACATGAAACTGACACGCCCCTCACATTTACCAATATTTGCCGTGTTAAACCCATTCGCTCACTGATTCAAGGAATGGTACGACTTCTCCACGAAGATGTCCAAGTTTCAGTACCGGCCGGCGCCCACAGCAGCCGTCTACAGCACCCACATGGTGTCCGAGATACACGACTACAACACAGGTAACCCTTCTTCCAAGGTGAAATGCAGCAAAACAGCTTCAGTGGCATGGGAGTGATTTGATTGTGACGCCATAGTAGCGATGACGCCACAATGGCCTGCAAAGCATTGCAAAGCAAAGATGTCACTCGATCTCCTTGCGCTCTGGTAAGGTTACCTTTCTTGAGACCTTACGCTCTGAACTGTTATAACGTCTTGTTACAGGTACAGCCTATGTGATTGACTCTGTGGGCGGCAACTGTACTGTCAGCGCCGTCAATGGTTTGGACGCCGTCAACGTGGACCCAACTCACGTCAAGATGGTGTCAACACAATACTATAAGAACTCCATATCTGGAACTCTAGCTTACGATGGGGTGGTGTGTATTTGGGCTTTTGTTTCCCACAGGAGAAGTACCCGTAAACATCCGGGGTAGAATAAGTCTTCAGCAACCCATGCTTGCCGTAAAAGGAGACTATGCTTGTCGTAAAAGGCGACTAACCGGATCGGGTGGTCAGGCTCGATGCCTTGGTTGATGCATGTCATCGATCCCAATTGCGTGGATCGATGTTCATGATATTAATCATTGGATTGTCTGGTCCAGACTCGATTATTTACAGACCGCCGTCATATAGCTGGAATATTGCTGAGTGCGGCGTAAAACAACCAACCGACCAACCAACTTTTTTTATCAAATTAGAGGACTGTATACGACATACGTTAGTCTTAACGAACTTTCTACAATTAATATTTTGAATAAGCCGTTAATAAGCCAGTTGTGACAGGGATGATGGTATGGTAGCTGTAGCAGACAGACTGACAGTCGTTGTTACGTGCGTCACTAGGTTATTAGTACGGCATTGACCTTGACATGTGTCCTTTGGCAAACATCGTCCTCACCAGAAGTGCTGAATTCTAAAGATGCACTTGGGTGTAAACTGACTGGGGAAAAGATAGGAACCACATTATTGATATATTGATGACACGAAGCTCGCAGATGTCACTGCATGCAAGAAGCCATGCAATACAATACACGTTTATGTATACAGCAGCTGTTCAGTTTGGGAAACGCCTTTGTTCATGTTCACAATTCATGTCAAAGATTTTAGATGAAGTTTCAGAATTAATTGGGGTGTAACGTTGCACTTCTATAGCGACGTGCTTGTACGTGTGTGTGTGTTTGTGTGTATGTGTGTGTGTGTGTGTGTGTGTGTGAGCTTGTACTAGCCCGGACTGATGCCGATTTATAGTGCTAGCTCACTGAGGTGAATCTGAAGATTGTGACAAGTTCAAATTTTGAATCTACTGTCATCACTCCACAGGTTTCTGAGTGCGGTGACAAACGTTGCCTTACTTGCAGCACTATAATTGAAGGCTGTTCAGTCCAAATTACAAAAGACACTAAATTTACTGTAAAAAAAAATATGACTTGTGATACTAGAAATGATATTTACTTGATTGTTTGTAGTGGATGCAATGAAAAGTATATCGGGAAGACAGAACATAAATTAAAAAGAAGAATGAATCTTCACCGTTCACAAATAAAGCAGCCACAAAACCGCACGATTCCACTAGTGAACATTTAGATACATGTGGAAGCGGCAACATGTTTAGTTTTCCCGCTTTAACCCTCTGGATGCCGAGGTTACTTTTATGGCGCGCATTTTCCTAAGATCGGAAAAGTGAAGGTTGTGCGAGAATTGCGCTCACGCGACACTGGATCTTCCTCTGGCTATAAAATTACGCAGCGGTGGGAAATATCAGATTTCCTATTTGATGGTGTAAATTTAAGCGCAAATATTAAACCTGTTTTTTTTTAAAAGAGACATTTCTAAGTGTTGTCCGAGAATTTATTCTGCAAGGAAAAACAGTAAATTTCTCCGCTTTTTATCGTACACCGATAAAAGTACTGTGCGACGATTTTTTTTATTTAGAAGCTTTACGGAATCTGTGAGCGAACAAAATACTGCCTAATATCTGAACGACATAGCTACATATCAAATAGAGTTATATGCGTATGTATAACGACATACATTCAATGCCAAAAATAGCGTAAATAACGAAAAGTAAATTATATTAAATTGTATATATTCATATTTGCCGATATTCATGATATATTTATTTTACCATCATTGTTTAAAACTACTCTGCACGACTTGTATGTATAGATCTTCTTATTTGTAAACAGATGGCACACTTATTATTTATATTATTGATATAACTGTCTGCTCAAGTTCTATATTATGTAAAATGCTGTCAACATAAACAAATACAAATTATTTCATAACACTCCAAATAGAGTTGTCATAATTGACAATAGTATACACTTGTCACATACAATAATACTGCCCGGTAAAATTGTATATTTTGTATATATTGGAATTTCGCCTTGTGGGTGGCCCATAAGGGACATGGAGTCTGTTTTTCAATATTTTTATATTTCACTTACTTTAATCATAACCTTTTGCAAATAAACACAATTTGGCATACAAATATGTGATAAATCATGTATAAAAACAACCGAAAATATACTTTCAAGTAACTATTGAATCGCCGAAATGTGAAGCGAAAATGTCAAAAATAAAATGGAAATGTCAAAAACAAATACGAAAAGGTCAAAAACTAAAATGAAAATGTCATAAACAAAAAGGAAAATGTCAAAAAAAAGCGAAAATGTCAAAAAATAAAATAATAAAACAAAAATATTTTCACCGCTGTGGAAATATTATCACCTCGTTGGAAATAGTTAGCACCGCGGTAGAAATAGTTTTCTGCATTTTCATTTTAGTGTTTAACATTTTCGCTTCACATTTCAGCAATTCAATATCTTCTTTATACATGATTTATCACATATTTGTATGACAAATCGTGTTAATTTGCAAAAGGTTACGATAACAGTAAGTGAAATATCAAAATATTGAAAAACAGACTCCACGTCCCTTATGGGCCACCGTATAATACAAATGGCGACATCTTGTTCCGAAAGGGTGCACCTGGGAATTGAAAATCGTCCTACAGTGACGTTACGTGTAACATCCTGAAAACAGATCACCCTGAAGAATGTACCTACTCGCTGTTACAGAGGTCAGTGCGTGGGATTGACTGCGACGTATGGGTGGAGGAACGGAACGACTGGCCGGCCCGGGGGTCAGGCGTTAACTCAACGTGGGAGTTTCTGTTCGCCACGGTAAGCACCAACCCAACGTCGTGAATCTTCATATTTGATGCGATATCTCACTTGATGTTGGCGGACGAACAGGCTGCGATTTTGGCATGGAAACGGCAGATTTTGGCATGGAAACGGCAGCATGTTATTTTAATTTTAAATAACAATAACAACGATTAACATGGGAGCGATATAGCTATTGGTGCCGCGTAGTTTAAACAACGGGTGTTTGTGTTAAGACACTGAATGGGACGAAGTTAATCCTTGTGGCACACATGCTTCACTTCTCTCCCAAAAGGGCGACTAAATTAGCCCTATGTGTGATTCTGAACAAAACTGATCTCAGGATAGGGTAACTGTGCGAGCTCACTCTCTCGCAGACAAAAAAGCACATGAAATTTTACTTTTGTAAATTATAGAATTAAGCTCCACACACTTCAGATCCAGGCCAAATCTCATTCTATTCGTACAACCTCTCAAAGATCCGCACACATGTATCCCCTCCTACGGCTCATTTATGACGTCCCCCGCCATGATGTTGCTGGAATATTGATAAAAACGGCGTAAAACAATACTCACTCACAATCCCCTCCTAGGTACATAACTTCATATCGCGTTTGCAGTCTTTAAGTTCTCAAAACGATCGAAAACAACATTTTATATGTATTCTTCTTCTCGTCAAGAACATGGTATTTTTGTGTTCACCAAAAATACGTTTATTCATTGAACGTGAGATCAGGCCCATGGCCATTAAAACGTTACATTTCAACATTTCAACTTCATTTTAAGTTCTTCAAATAATATGAAAGAAGTCATGATTTCTAGAATGCTCAACCGGAAGTTGCAGTGAGTAGTTTCTAATGATCCCGTTTCAGCCACTCTGGTTGTTTCAACATGGCTTCGGAAACAACTCTATACTTCCGGTCCAGCTGTCAATCGCCGCGGCATCGGTAATGTTTCGTTAATAAGTTAATAAGTGTGTGTGTGTGTGTGTGTGTGTGTGTGTGTGTGTGTGTGTGTGTGTGTGTGTGTGTGTGTGTGTGTGTGTGGTGTGTTTGCGTGTGTGTGGTGTGTCTGTGAGTGTTTGGCGTGTGTGTGTGTGGTTTGTCTCTGTGTGTGTGTGTGTGTGTGTGTGTGGTGCGTGTGTGTGTGGTGCGTGTGTGTGTGGTGCGTGCGTGCGTGCTTGCGTGTGTGTGTTGAATGTGTGCGGTGTGTTTGGCGTGTGTGTGTGGTTTGTTTCTGTGTGTGTAGTGCGTGTCAGTGGTGCATGCGTGTGTGTGTGTTGAGTGTGTGCGTGTGTGTTGAGTGTGTGTGTGTTGAGTGTGTGCGTGTGTGGTTGCAAAATATTATCTTTGTAGTTTGTTTATTTTCTGCAAACCCACTGGCACTGGTATGGTTCTGACAAACCTGGAAAGATAATTCGGGAGAAGCAGCATCGAAACCCACTATCTTTATTTTCTGCAGAGCTAATTGCTACCCCTCAATCCGTGCCCCCTCCCCCTCACCCCTCCCCCTCCCCCCTCCCCCCTCGGTTAAAGCTGCAGGCCACATGAATACAACGATCTTCGCCAGACAAGGTAAATCATATCCTCATTCCATAGCAGGAACGTGTTTAGGAGATTAATTTCATCCAGTGCCTCCTCCAACAGGTGAATTTCTACACCACCTTCAACATCTACGAGTACGACGACGACGAGCCGTCTCTCCTTGACTTTGACATCACACCTTGCTTCGGCCCCAACCACAAGAAGGATATAAAGTTTATTTTACCAGGTAGCTTTGACCGTGTACAACTCCAGTAGTGGTACCCCCCTCCCTCAACTCACAAGCTTCCGTTTATCAACTCTATCCCTCTGGGAAAAATACAAATTTAATAAAAGAAAGTTAAATTTTAAAAATACACAACTTACACAACTTTCAAATAAAGCCCAATTTCACTGATATAAATGCTGCATCGTTAATAGATTTTTAAAAGATACGAACCATAGTGGTAAACTGAAAAGGTTCTGATACTGGTTGATAGATGGAAGAAAGATGAAAGGAACGTTTTAATCTCATTCTCAGAATGTCTTTCAGGACATCCCACTTACCGAACGATTACTCACAGGAATGCCTGAACTTGGTCATCCGTTACATTGTGGTAGTTGTTGTTGATGTCCAAGGACTTGTAGTAATGTAGTAGCAGTTGTGGTAGCCGCAGTAGCATTTGTGGTAGTTGTTGTTGCAACTGTTGTTATGGTAGTTGTCGTAGATGTAGTAGTAGATGTTGCAGTAGAAGATGTGCTCACATCATTATCAGTAGTAGTAGTACAAGAAGTGTTAGTAGTAGTGTTAATAGTAGTAGTAGTAGTAGTAGTAGGACTTATAGTAGTAGTAGTTGTAGTAGAAGTAGTAATAGTTGTAGTAGTAGTGGTGGTGGTTGTAGTAAATATATCAGCTCTAGGAGAGTGGTAGTGGCAGTAGTGGTGGTTGCAGTAAATATATCAGCTCTAGGAGAGTGGTAGTGGCAGTAGTGGTGGTTGTAGTAAATATATCAGCTCTAGGAGAGTGGTAGTGGCAGTAGTGGTGGTTGTAGTAAATATATCAGCTCTAGGAGAGTGGTAGTTGTAGTAGTGGTGGTTGTAGTAAATATATCAGCTCTAGGAGAGTTGTAGTGGTGGTTGTAGTTAATATATCAGCTCTAGGAGAGTGGTAGTGGCAGTAGTGGTGGTTGTAGTAAATATATCAGCTCTAGGAGAGTGGTAGTGGTGGTTGCAGTAAATATATCAGCTCTAGGAGAGTGGTAGTGGCAGTAGTGGTGGTTGTAGGAAATATATCAGCTCTAGGAGAGTTGTAGTGGTGGTTGTAGTTAATATATCAGCTCTAGGAGAGTGGTAGTGGCAGTAGTGGTGGTTGTAGTAAATATATCAGCTCTAGGAGAGTGGTAGTGGCAGTAGTGGTGGTTGTAGTAAATATATCAGCTCTAGGAGAGTGGTAGTGGCAGTGGTGGTGGTTGTAGGAAATATATCAGCTCCAGGAGAGTGGTAGTGGCAGTAGTGGTGGTTGTAGTAAATATATCAGCTCCAGGAGAGTGGTAGTGGTAGTAGTGGTGGTTGTAGTAAATATATCAGCTCCAGGAGAGTGGTAGTGGCAGTAGTGGTGGGTGTAGTAAAGATATCAGCTCTAGGAGAGTGGAAGTGGTAGAAGAGGTGGTTGTAGTAAATATATCAGCTCTAGGAGAGTGGTAGTGGCAGTAGTGGTGGTTGTAGTAAATATATCAGCTCCAGGAGAGTGGTAGTGGTGGCAGGGGTGGTTGTAGTAAACATATCAGCTCTAGGAGAGTGGTAGTGGCAGTAGTGGTGGTTGTAGTTAATATATCAGCTCTAGGAGTGTGGTAGTGGTATTGGTGGTGGTTGTAGTAAATATATCAGCTCCAGGAGTGTGGTAGTGGCAGTAGTGGTGGTTGTAGTAAATATATCAGCTCTAGGAGAGTGGTAGTGGTAGTGGTGGTGGTTGTAGTAAATATATCAGCTCCAGGAGTGTGGTAGTGGTAGTGGTGGTGGTTGTAGTAAATATATCAGCTCTAGGAGAGTGGTAGTGGTATTAGTGGTAGTTGTAGTAAATATATCAGCTCTAGGAGTGTGGTAGTGGTAGTGGTAGTCATCCATCGTTTAATATCCATCCTGTCTCTCTTTCAGCTCAGTATAGTAAGCTCGTGGCAGATGAACTGACGATGTTCCGTTATTTCATCTTGGTGACAGTGGCAGGCTACACCACTATCTCTCCCATCAGAATAACAAACATCCAGGTACTCTCCAACTCAAGTCTTCCCTATTAGTGTGATAATCATCAAGGTACTCACCAACCCCCGTCGTCTCTATTAGAGTAACATTCAGCTATTCTCCAAATCTCGGGTTCTCCATAGGTGTAACAAACATTATGTTCTCTCCAATCCCCGTCTTTCCTATTAGTGTAAAAAAAATTCAGGTACTCTCCAACCCCCGTCGTCCCTATTTGTGTAAGAAACTCTCCAACGCCCGTCTTCCCTATTTGTGTAAGAAACTCTCCAACTCCCGTCTTCCCTATTTGTGTAAGAAACTCTCCAACTCCCGTCTTCCCTATTCGTGTAAGAAACTCTCCAATCCCCGTCTTCCCTATTCGTGTAAGAAACTCTCCAGCTCCCGTCTTCCCTATTCGTGTAAGAAACATTATGTACTCTCCAAACTCCGTCTTCCCCATCAGACTAACAAACGTAATTGTACTCTCTAACCTCAGTCTCCCCTTCAGTAAACAAACATTTAGTTTCTCTGCAACCATCTTAATTCAAGTTTGTGTAACACAATCAATATGGATTATGGTTCGAGAGTGCCGTGATGGAATGATGTGACCGCGGTTACAGGTGGATTTTCTGGACAGCAAGGATGTCCTGGTGTCGTTCCGACTGCTGGACAAGGCCCCCCTCCCCGGCGATGTCGCTAACCCCGTATCTCAGCTGCCATTGCAGGACGCAGTGGACATTCTCAAATACGGCATCAACTCCGGAAACTTCACCATCAACATCAACGTAAGAATTTCCCAGACAAGGCAATACTGATTTGTCATTCTCATACTGGACCCACGTGGGTACAATGTGTGAAGCCCATTTCTGATGTCCCCCGCCGTGATATTGCTGGAATATTGCTAAAAGCAGCATAAAGCCATACTCACTCACTCATACTGGGCTTGATACAGACTATAGTAGCCACGCAAATACGTCCTGGTGAACGCGTGATCGAGTGAGTTAGTGAGTGAGTTGAGTTTAACGCCGTTTTGAACAGTATTCCAGTTTTACCACGGCGTCTCAGCTTAATATGGATGGAAGCTTTTAGTGATGCAGGTCCTAGACGTTTACCACTTCGGTGAAACCCACGAGCACGGGCACTGTGCTGACAAACCTAGAAACATAATCGGGGCGAACCGGGATTCCAACCGACGATCATAGGTTTCTGGTGTGCACACGGGCCGCCACCCTGCGAACTGCGGCACCTCAGACGACTGTGCCACCCGTGCACCCTAGATTAATGGAATCATACACAAAATACAAATATTTCCTTTGTCTAAATTGCGAGTATTGTTTTACGCCGCTTTAAGCAATATTCAATGACTTTCACGGTGGAAGAGACCAGATATTGGCTTCACATATTGTACCAAAGTTGGATGAAAAGAACCCGTGCCTTCGGCGTGACGGGTGAACGCTTGACCTCAAGGCTACACCGCCGCCCCTCCAAATTAGACATTATCTCATTAAAGTGAATCGAGATCATAGGTATATTTATTTAATATATTTACGATGTCAAATCATAGTCTGTCACCAATACCCAGGACCACCTCCCAGGTGGGACCGGGGAGCGGAAGGTCGGTGGTGCTATCCTAGTCTGCGGCAAACACCAAAGACGTTATATGATGGTACTTGTTGTTGCCCTGCCTCACGCTCGGCATTATGAACGAGAGAGTATTTCTTACCTGTTGTTTCTGAGACAGTCTTCATTAGGGAGTGAATGAGTATTGTTTTACGCCGCTTTTAGCAAATTTCCAGTAATATCGCGGCGGGGGACACCAGACATGGGCTTCACACATTGTATCCATGTCGGGAATCGAACCCTGGTCTTTGGTGTGACGAGCCAACACTTTCATCACTACACTACCCCACCACCCCCTGTCTTCTGTAAAGTGGATGTATAGTTACGCTATGACTGTTGAGGAGAGACAATATTAATAATGATGCACGTCTCTGCAGGGAGTTATAATGAAGCCACGCCCCTACTCTGTGAGTGCTAAGGACACGGTGATAGTGGAGCATCCCTGGAAGAACGTCAAGCTGGAGTATACGGGAGGTGAGATATAAGCTGTAAACAGAAATGGTATCTACCGACGTCACATACAACAAACAGACGCTTTTTACAGGCAGCTGCCATATAGCTGGATCATTGCTGAGTGCGGCGATAAACAATAAACAAACAGACGGCTGTACAAGCCACCGTCATATAGCTTTGTTATTGCGGAGTGCTGCGATAAACAACAAACAGACGGCTTTACAGGCAGCTGCCATATAGCCGGATCATTGCTGAGTGCGGCGATTAACAACAAACAGACGCTTTACAGCCCACCGTCATATAGCCGGATCGTTGCTGAGTGCGGCGATAAACAACAAACAAACAGACGGCTTTACAGCCCACCGTCATAAAGCTTGATCATTGCTGAGTGCGGCGATAAACAACAAACAAACAGACGGCTGTACAAGCCACCGTCATATAGCTGGAATATTGCTGAGTGCGGCGATAAACAACAAACAAACAGACGGCTGTACAAGCCACCGTCATACAGCTTGAATGTTGCTGAGTGCGGCGATAAACAATAAACACAAATAACGTGAACATCAAAGGCCATACATATGACTGTTCACAGGGAGCGTGGTCGGCCTGGGGATAGGGATGCTGGTGGCGTCGTCTGTCGCCGGCTTCATCATCTACATGGTCATCAGGAAGAAGACGGTCATGAAACAGCAGCTGTGTGCGGTGAACTGTATCAATAAATGCATCGGGTGTCCACACTTCCTGGGACGAACAAGGAAGACACTGGTGATGGCCTGACGGCGTCCACATAAAACTGTTGTTTGAAAGTAGACATATCATTGTTGTTTTCATTACCACCAGAGACGTATATAATGTAAATATTCTCTTGAATAGATTCTGTTTAACGCATGAAGGACATGTTTGGTTATTTGAATATACTGCAAGTCAAAAGAAAGTATACACTTATGTTAGAGGGTGGTTAAAATGAAACAAGAAATGGTTGTTCTAAGGTATTCCATGTGATACGGGTATAAATGTTGTCTTGGATCTCAAGTTTGCAGTGTTTCGGTGACTGTTTTCAGCCCAGTAACGTTATGGTAATTGTTGTATCAAATCCTGTTTTCAAGCGTATACTTTCTTTTGCCCGTCAGTTTAGATGCAATGTATCATCGTGTAACATTATTCTTTATAAATGATACTTTTAATCAAAATTAGAGGGTTGTTCTTTAGAAGAACCTGCGTCCGTGTGGAATGGAGATGCATATCATTTTGTTTGTTTGTTGTTTAACGCCTCGTTATGCAATATTCCAGCTATATGACGGCGGTCTATAAATAGTCGAGTCTGGACCAGACAATCCAGTAATTGATATTGTAAGCATCGATCCATGCATTTGGAATACGATGACATGCACCAACCGAGTAAGCGAGTCTGACCACACGATCCCGTTCGTCGCCTCTTACGACAAGCATGGTCGCCTTTTAGGGCAAGCATGGGTTGCTGAAGACCTATTCTGCCCCGGAGTGATGCATCTCAGTGCGTATAGATCTGATACCTTCGACCTTCACCTTTACATCGTATGCAATGGTTGGTGTTTCCAAGTGAACATGCAATGACAGATGGAAACCCATGTCGTAGGCCCCGCCGGATGGGATGATCTCCATAAATTGGGGAGCAATGGCAAATTGTACGTTTTCACAAGGGATTGTTATGAACACTAAACCTGACTTCATGAGGACAGGGTGTCGGTACGACATTCCAGCCAAGTTTCTCCATATCCATCCAAGCACAAGCGGGGTCATGATTTGGCTGACAAGGCAGAGGCAGAGTAGTCCAGGCTAAGGAGGCCAGTTTTTCACTCAACTTGGAACAAATTGCAACAGAATTTATTACACCACAATTCATTTCTACAAGGTCCCGAAAACAACATACTAAAACTCCAAAGCAATCCCAGTTTGGGAAATATGTCGTATTTGCATAATCCAATATGGCCACCAATTATCAATATATCTTCCATATTACAGATGAGGTTCAATGTTTTGATGAAAAAAGCACGTGAAGATTGTGTTTAGAGATGTGATTAAAGATGTTGTGATTAGATGTTTTGTGATTAGAGATGTTGATATAACAGCTGTTTAACAGCTGGGGGGCATCACAGTGGAAGTGCAGTTGATTAGGTATCTTGTTATAACATGTGGAAACCCATCTAAATTAGGAATAGCGACTTTTACTTCCAGGGAATGGGAAGAAACTGCGTTGTTGGAACCATCCTACTGCTGACTGTGGCCCGTTTGACCAGCATGTATCTGAATATACACCATGGTACATGCGTATCTTCTATTAATAACCTTCGTTGGATCAATAACCCCAAAGTTACTGACTTGTACAACACACATGTCCAGACACATACAGCAGATGGAAGTGAGACGGAATACCTTGAAGATAGCCATGACGCACAGCGGAGTAAGACAGATGAAGCTTGTCCCTGGAACAATATGTCACCACCACTTGACGACAACACAAAGAAGAAATATAAAATCCACGATCTATTTCGAGTGGTAGGTTTTGGATTTTTTTCATCATTAGATTAATGTATAAGGACACTTTCCTGTATTCACAATAGATCCAGATTGTACAGCATGTTCAGAAAGGCGACACAACTCGTTCCATAATCATGAGAAGTCCTCACTAAAGGCAACAGCAATTTAAGATTCCCGATCCACTGGAAGAAATATATGTTCATCAACACGATCTATTAACGTTGACTGTCATGTATATCATTGCCCCCATATATACCGTAGATATAGCAATACATTTACGGGACATGGGTAATACATACGGCCATGGTACCACACTCTAAGCCTTCATATGTGCAGACCAATCCTTAAATTGCGCTGTGGAGTACATAGAGCAATGAATGTAAATGTCTTATAGAGTTTACACAGTCATGGTACAAGCATCAACGCTGAATATGCCTTATTATTTAGTTTGGGAGATTGTCATCCGTTGTGCCCCAGTCTTAGAACATAGCCGATGGATTAAGGAGTTCATCATACCATTCCGTGAAAAGTTATTTTCAAAATACATGTGTGCGTTTTAAACCTAATAATTACACAACGAGACTGAAGGTGATGTGATGATGGATATGTATTATCTATAAACATTGTGTGGAACACATTGACAAAAATGTAATAGCAGAGAAAACCGCAAAATATTTGCACAACGGAATGCAATACTATGAACGTCTTTATCTCATGAGTGAGTGAGTGAGTATGGTTTTACGCCGCTTTTAGCAATATTCCAGCAATATCACGGCGGGGGACACCAGAAATGGGCTTCACACATTGTACCCATGTCGGGAATCGAACCCGGGTCTTCGGCGTGACGAGCCAACGCTTTAACCACTAGGCTACCCGACCGCCCTTATCTCATGATAATTACCACAAGCTGAACCTTCAACATACGTATGTATTGCTTTTCATTGCACAGTTCGACGTGTTGTGTGTTCTCTCTCATTACCTATTGTCAAAAAAGTCCCGAACAATGCCACCTGGGTTATATAATGCAACCCTGGTAACAATGCCTGGTTACAATGCCACCTGGGTTATATAATGCAACCCTGGTTACAATGTCTGGTTACAATGCCACCTGGGTTATATAATGCAACCCTGGTTACAATGCCTGGTTACAATGCCACCCGGGTTATATAATTCAACCCTGCTTACAATCCCTGGTTACAATGCCACCTGGGTTATATAATGCAACCCTGGTTACAATGCCTGGTTACAATGCCACCCGGGTTATATAATGCAACCCTGGTTACAATGCCTGGTTACAATGCCACCCGGGGTATATAATGCAACCCTGGTTACAATGCCTGGTTACAATGCCACCTGGGTTATATAATGCAACCCTGGTTACAATGTCTGGTTACAATGCCACCTGGGTTATATAATGCAACCCTGGTTACAATGCCTGGTTACAATGCCACCTGGGTTATATAATGCAACCCTGGTTACAATGCCTGGTTACAATGCCACCTGGGTTATATAATGCAACCCTGGTTACAATGCCTGGTTACAATGCCACCTGGGTTATATAATGCAACCCTGGTTACAATGCCTGGTTACAATGCCACCCGGGTTATATAATGCAACCCTGGATACAATGCCTAGTTACAATGCCACCCGGGTTATATAATGCAACCCTGGTTATAATGCCAATTCCAATATTTTCAGTCCGAACGTTCCAACTCCCTGGTTGCAAAGACAATTTTTATATCAATTTCCAAACAGTTGAGATCATTCCTTCTTCTAAATCAACAAACTAACTGCATTGATGTCAGGCGGTTTTACAGCTAACCCCTGGTCAGTTCATTTATGCCTTCAGTCCCTTAGAGTAATTATCACCGGATCATTCAAGTCCCAATACAGTAAACCCGATGTAATAGACTGTATTGACAATCAACAGCCCCCAATGACGATGATGTAGTGACTATAACCTCACCCTGTTTATAATGTCAACATGATTATAATGCCTCCCTGTTATAACGCCACCCTGTTTATAATGCCACCTTGATTATAATGCTACCCTATTACAATGTCACCCTGTTATAATGCCACCTTGTGTATAATGCCACCCTGATTATAATGCCACACTGTGTATAATGCCACCCGGTTTATAATGCCACCCGGTTTATAATGCCACATGTTCTGCTGTACGAAAGGTGGCAACACAACCAGGGAGGACTGTAGATCATTTGTTTTGCTGTCTGGATTAACGTATATCATATAATGCTAGAATCTATAACATACACGCCCTTTTTACTACTGTGTCGATTACCGTCAGATATGATGCCAGAATCTATGAACATTTATATCCTTTGAAATGCCGTGTGGAATATAATATGCTATATAATGCTAGAGAATCTATTAACATATGTAACACATGTTATATTTGTGATAACACTTTCTTAGTAAAGTTCAGATTCTAGTATTCTTTTGGGTTTAGTCCCATCCGGTATTCGAACCTACACTCCCAGAGTAAGGCACGTAATCGCCAGCACACAAAGTCAGAGATCTAAACCACTCAGCCACCAAGGTTCCCACAAAATGAAAGTCCGGCAACTGGTAGCCTAGGTCACGTACTTTGTGTACCCCTCTGATAAGTGTAAATTCACATTACACGGTGACTCACGTAGACATTTGTCAAGTCACGCCAAACACGTGTAACAAACAAAATAGCCGCTCTTCCCAGAGAGTACTGGATTGTCGATTATTTACAGACCGCCGTGTTACAGCGGGACTATTGCTGACAAACAAACAACATTGTATCCCAATTCCGTGGATCGATGCTCATGATATCATCACTGGATTGTCTGTTCCAGACTCGATTATTTCCAGACCACCGTCATGTGGTTGAAATATTGCTGATTGCGGCGATAAACAACAAACAATCAATTAAAATCAGTCTTCCTAAAGCCTAACTATTTCGTGCTAGTTTCGCAGCTGGTCAATCCCTCTGATTTGGCGTTTTTCCATATTTCAGAAGAAACCTGCCTTCTTGTCAGACTACAAAAATCCATGTTGGAGGAAAAGCAACACCAGAAGACTAGTATGTCTCCCGTACTTTTATCTTGTCGGGTTTCCCAAATGCGGATCGACCTTCACCTTCAGTACCATAGTCGCTCATCCGGAAGTGGCCAAGCCTAAGAAAAAGGAAACTCATTGGCTTGCCAGAGGTAGATATAACGGTAAGTCCAGTTATTTCCTTTATGAAACCTAACCTGAAATAAAAGTGCTGCTAAAAAACATAAATAATTTTGTAAACATGTTTCAGCTGAGAGATGTGAAAAGATAAAGTGTGAAAAATGTAAAGGTATTACAAGAGGTAATGTAAAAAATATAATAGTGAGTGAGTGAGTTAAAATTAAACGTCGCATCGGCATTATTCCAGCCATATAGCGACGAGACCAAGTTAACATATTTACAATTCAGTCATTTATGCAAAAGAAATTATAATAGTTTATGCAGCACAATATTAGCAGCAATTTTTATTGGCAGTAAACAGTTTGGAACCATATAACAGCCAAATAGAAGCAAATTGTGGTATAAGACTTCACTTTATTACCCACGGGGTTATAAGTAACCGAGTACATAAAAGTCGCACTCGTGTAAATATCACTTCTCGGGCACCAGTGCATTGTTTCCGTCACCCGGACGGCATTGTTGACGTCATTCAAATCTCATTGTGACGTAAAGACGGAATGACGTCACACTAGAAATGACGTCATAGCTGCTGACGTCATTCGACAAATTGTGGTTTTCTATTACAGCGGTGGTGATCAGTGCATTTTTTTTTAAAAGGGGAGCTCATAAAGGATTAAGAAGCAATCGGTAAAAAAAGAAACTGCTACACTCACATGTGCGTCATACTGATGTTACACAATTCGTGCAAGAATTCATGTATAAATACAAGAATTCTGACATTCGTTTCCTAAAACCAGCATGACACACATGCTCGCATAATAAACCCTAATTACATTATATGCTTTCATTTTCAGTGAACTCAAATTTGAACAGATTCTTGGGCATGTTCTCAACAGTTGCAAAAGTGATAGAAGAGAATGTGATTGCTGATTCCCATACAGACAGAACATTCCACCCATTGATCACAGGTACGGCACAAGTCAAATTCCAGTCAGTTATGAATGTATAGTTAATTATTAATAAACCCTGACAGAATACAACAAAATTGGCCTTGGATCTTTGATTCCCAAGTGGCCAACATATAACTACATATGTCAAACATACACAGTGGCTTGTCACCGTGGATAATATAGTGACAGATGTCAAATACACATATATGGTTGTCTCCACGTGGATATGCAAAATAATGATCCAATAGAAAATAGTAACCTTCAATTCTCTTTTGTACTGGATTTTAAAGCTCCATAAATAGAAAAATATATTGCTGGGTCCAGCAAATCCCTCTCTCAAAGATTAGTCATAGTTTTTCTTAAAATCAAGAAATGTATTGAGACTAGATATGTTTTACAGCTGCATCCGCAAAAACAGATACTTATTTTAACTAAAACTGAGCGAAAAAGACCAATTGATTTTTTTGTGGCAGACATTTGTTTTTTATACTTCAACAGTCTGAAGTATGGATCACGTGGTCGGTCCCTCGGTGATCTTATTTCGTGCAATAATGGTCAAATAGACAAGTTCCTTCCGTTAAAGATCAAGACTGTATGATCAGAGTGATGACTTTGAAAGTCACATTTGATGTCGAGCAGTATTCTAACATCTACAGCCTTTGGCATCTACATTTCACAACTTTTGATGTACCGTCTAACATGCTCTTTCTTCGAAACACTCAACGTGTGTCATGCTCAAAAGTTATTTGATCAGGGTTATAACATTCGAGACCTCAGTAAGGATTTCAGAAAATCTATATGTTACATGCGTGCACCAAACCTATGTCCGATACAAATCCCTAGTTTGACTTAACCGTTTGTTCCCGTGATTTTTAAATGAAGAACACTTGACTTGCCTTTGTATGTTTTTGTAACGATTGCCATCGGTGGGGTAGGATACGCTTACCTTTTTGCGATCGCGAATTATAGTAATTTATAAAACACATGCTTTCGAAATATTTGGAATCGCACAATCGAATGTATAAGAGTTTATTCATATATATGTTATAGGAAATATGTATAATCAGTGAACATGTGGATTCCCTGAAATTTTCAGGGGTTATATTTAATGTCTGATTCACTCAAGGGACATACATAATCCCTTAAATTTTCAGTTATACACATTCCAAGATTTAACATCAAGTTGTTTTTTTCCCTGACTTATTCCCTGAAATTACTTTTGAGGCTCTCATATGCTCAAACTTGATGAAAGACATCGGGAAGACAAATTTATTTTGCATGATAACAAACACTTTTCACTTAACTTAAGAATTAGTCTTAACTGTAATCAAAACATAGGATAGAAATGAGATTAAAATACTGTAAATCGTGAAATGTATGCGTCTCCAGAAGAATGCGACCGATATGAATGTAACTCAATGCCACTCAAACACTAAATTGTTCTTGTTTGGTAGGGGTATATCCTAAGTTTGATGTAGCATTGTTTTGATTACAGTGAAGAAAAATTGTAAGTTAAGTTAAGTGAAAGGTATTTGTCATCATGTCAAATAAATTTGTCTTCTCATAAATAATTTGTTTGTTTTTTATCAAGTTTGACCATATAAGAGTCTCAAAAGTAATTTCAGGGAATATGTCTAAAAAACTTGATGTTAATCAGGGAATGTGTTTAATACCTGAAAAGTTTAGGGACAATGTGTATTCCCTGAGTGAATCAGACATTAAATATATTCCATGATTATACATAGTCCCTGTAACATATATATGCCAAGCATACAAGCTGAACCTATTATTATACATATTTATGTCAAGTAAACATATATGGTTGTCACACCCTTTCTGTAATCCAATCTAGCATAACCATCAACTTACCCTTTTGTCACAAGGTGATGGCTCCCCTTCTACAGTGTGGAACAACCCCAACTGGCGTTACCTCCCGGGCAACTACAACTGCACCGAGCCTCGTGTCCTCACCCCGCACTATATCCATCATCTCAACCCCTCCACTAACATCATCATCGTCATCAGGAACCCTACTGATATGTAGGTCTGCTACCTCCAGTACACATAACGATCTTCTCAACTGTCTTCATTTACATATTGGGGGCACGGGGCACGGGTGGCCCAATCGTCTAAGGCGCCGCGATTCGCCGTGTAGAGTTGCGTCTCTTGGGCACGCCAGAAACCTATCATCATGGGTTTGAATCCCGGTTCGTTCCGTTTATGTTTCTAGGGTTGTCAGCGTCATACCCGTGCTTTAGGGTTTCACCGAAGTGGTAAATGTCTGAGACCTGCATCATTTCGGGCTTTCCTCCAACATTAGGCTGACACGTCGCGATATAACTGGAATACTATTTGAGTCAAACCCAACTCACTCACTCACTCGCTCATTTACCTATTAGTCAGCACAGTTACAGTAATGGCTGATGCTACAAGAATGTATTACATTGGAATATATCACATTTATTCATGCTTATATTACGTTATATTAAATTATGTAATGCATCATGCAGTATGTGGGCTGGTGACGTAGGCTAGTGGTTAAGGTGTTCGTTCATCAAACCGCAGGCCCAGGATCGATTCCTCCCATGTAGGTAAACTTCTCAGTTCTAGAGTCTCCCGCCATGATATTGCTGGAATATTGCTAAAAGCGGCGCAAAACCATACTCACTCACTTACTTCGACCAGCATATGTTGTTCATATTCTAAAACGGAATTCCCACCATGTGAGATTTCTATGCGATGAACTATGCAACGTGAATGTATCTTACTAAATTTAAGTGTCATACATGTAAAGGGTGTAAAGTCTTTACTTTGCATCAACTAAATGTCCATATCTATTTCTTACTAACTAGGGGCACGGGTGGCCCAGTTGTCTAAGGCGCCGCGATTCGCTGTGCAGAGTTGCGTCCCTTGGGCACGCCAGAAATCTATGGTTGTGGGTTCGAACCCCGGTTCGCCCCGATTATGGTTCTAGGTTTGTCAGCACCATACCCGTGCTCGTGGGTTTCACCGAAGTGGTAAACGTCTGAGACCTGCTCACTTCAGGCTTTCCTCCCACATTAAGCTGACACGCCGTGATATAACTGGATAAACTGTTAAAAGCAGCGTTAAACCAAACTCACTCACACACTCTCACTAATTGCAGGAGGATATCCGACTACAACTACTTCTACAAAGGTCATATAACGGCAGAAAGCTTCCATGACAAAGTGGTTGATGACTTAAGAATGTTTAAAGATTGTTGTTCCAAGTTTCCCATGAGGACCTGTGCATACAACAGCAGCTTTAAGGAAAGAGTGAGTGGTTGGGGTGCAAGCTCTTTTTCTCCTGACAGGTGCGACCATGTAATATGATTTATAAATATGTTCCGTGTCCCTCCAGGGTTTAGATAAGGACATATATCTTTATATAAATGATAAATCGCAAAGAACAATGAGAAACGAAGCTTGGTTTATTACACGATAAAACATCATGGCGCCATTTCTGGAGATTCAAACATCCGCTCGCATCTTGATGACGTCGTAAATGTGGACGACCTTATGTTTCATGAGTTTAGTGAATTGATCCCTATAGATGTAGCTGGAAAACGTAGAGGAGCACATTGGCCGAACGAACGCATTCAAAAGTGGGAGAGATATGACAAACGGTATTGGGAGAAAGGGTGCAGACAATCGACGTGTGAATTGTGAGAATATTAAATAACAAACATAACTCTCCTGTTCATAGAATTGGCTTGTCCGACATTGCAGAGGTGGGGCTGTATTCAGGCAATCATCATTATTCAAATACGTGTAAATGTTTTAAAATTTGAACATGTTATTGGTATCAATAAAGAGGCTGCATCCCCCATGGCAGTGTTTTATTGTACGATAAACAACTCCCAATTGTCGTTTATTATTTTAATTGAACTTTTAGTTACCTTCATTAATTAAAGTCGATTGTATTGAACGATAAACAACTTCCACTTGTCGTTTAGTTACCTTCATGAATAACAGGAGATTCTATTGTACGAATATATATAGTGCCAAATCAAGACTGTTTATCAAATTGATCATGAATTGAACATGTGCTTAATTGCCCAGTTCAACAATTTGAAAACCAGGGGAGATAGTCCTACAGTATACGTCTTCTGTATTACCATGCATATCCACAGGATTATCTCCCTTGTCCAGCATACCACCCTCTAAATGCCAATTGATCAAGCAACTTAATCACCAAAGGGTTTCTGCAGGAGAGTGTTCCGATGACTACACGCGATGGGTCGAGTGTTTTGTTCTTAACAGGTATGGGGTTGAACACAGCTAATGCATTCTTAAAGTGAATTAATATTAATAATGACGTTGATGGATGTGTCACGTGCATGTTTACGTCTTCTCATTGTCAGATGTTGATCGGCCTGTACCACGTGTTCATCAGCGACTGGATGAAAGTTTTCCCTCGAGATCACATCTTGATTGCCAGACTGGAAGACATGCGCGATGATCCTTACGCGTCTTACTCAAAAATATTTGAGTTCCTCGGCCTGAGTATGATATAGTTTTCAGTACTTTGAAATGTTTGGTTAAACTTTGAATGGTAGTTATAAGTCAACATTAAATATCTGGTTCATTGTGAGTGAGTGAGTGAGTGAGTTTGGTTTTACGCCGCTTTAAGCAATATTCCAGCAATATCACGGCGGGGGACACCAGAAATGGGCTTCACACATTGTACCCATGTCGGGATTCGAACCCGGGTCTTCGGCGTGACGAACGAACGCTTTAACCACTAGGCTACCCGACCGCCCCTGGTTCATTGTGACCTCCTGAACAAAGGGTTATGAGGTGTAAAATTATGTTTCATGTTTAATGTTCATTAAGCCTCATAGTTACCGTGCATGTTAATACTTGACGTAAATATAGGGACACAACCATTTCCATAGCCACACGATTGTACGCTTCCGACCATGTCGTGAGCATCTGATGTCATTGGTGTGAGTGACGTAGTCTTTGTTTAAACTGCTCTTGCTTTATTTTTATTGCTTCCACATTAATCATTTGTGATTAAGGAGACTGACATGGTTGTTTATTTTGTGTGTAAACACGTGGCTTCATGATCGTTCTGGGGGCAGTCGGGTAGCCTTGTGGTTAAAGCGTTCGCTCGTCACGCCGAAGACCCGGTTTCGATTCCCAATATGGGTACAATGTGTTAAGCCCATTTCTGGTGCCCCCCGCCGTGATATTGCTGGAATATTGCTAAAAGCGGCGTAAAACCATACTCACTCACTCACTCATGATCTTTCTCCATCAGGTCAAGTGTCTCGATCAGAGCTACATCAGATCCTGAGCAAAAGCAACATGAATCAAAGCAGAAAGCGATTTCAGGTGAAGAACGAGACACGCCGTCTACTAGAGGACTTTTTTAGACCTCACAACATTGAGCTTGCAAAATTGATGAAAAATACGATTCCCATATACATTTAAACATGTACATTAGTAAATTGGTATAAAATTATGTTAATTTACAACTAATGCTTGATGTGTCATTGATATTATCTCCACGTGCTGCATGTATCATCACTACTTGTTTGGTGATGTGAAACTTATACAGTGACGACGATGCACGTGTGTGTCGGACTCCGTGCACAAACAAGTGCGGTTTCAGAGTGACATGGGGGGCGGTCGGGTAGCCTAGTGGTTAAAGCGTTCGCTCGTCACGCCGAAGACACGGGTTCGATTCCCGACATGGGTACAATGTGTGAAGCCCATTTCTGGTGTCCCCCGCCGTGATATTGCTGGAATATTGCTAAAAGCGGCGTAAAACCATACTCACTCACTCACTCAGAGTGACATGGATACCCCACGCAGACACAGCAGATTCACTCCGAGCCGACCAGTTAGTGTTTTACCCATTTAATCTCGCACGCCAGGCGGGGTAACAACTAGCCCACTTAGGATCGAACCACCGACCTCGGATTCTCAGGGCAGATGCTCTATCCACTAGACTACGGAGGCGGTCTCTGGTTCATAGTGATTTCACAGCGCATTCTTAGACGGTTGTAATCGAAAAATGAACTAAGTTTCATATGTTTTCCCGATTTAGCGAGGGACCGAGAAGAAATGTTTCGCGAGGATATATACTGAACCGCAAAAGAAACGTCACCATGGATAGATGTATGAGCAACCTTATTTGTCCAAACACTGTAAACATACTTTGAGACACATTAAAAAGATGAAACTTGCAAAACTGATCATCAAGGTTGAAATTAAAGTGTCAAATGTTCTTAAAGTGAAACACAACACCAGTCTCTGAGAAAATGGCATCACAAGTCAGTATCTCGTGTGTCCGCCATGTGCATTGATGACTGCCGTGCAATGTCGATACATGGAATGGATAAGGCGGCTGATGAAGGCCATAGGCACTTGAGCCCTCACTCTTGAAGAACGCCTGACGCAGTTCAGGTGCAGTTGTCGGCCTTTGTCGGACGTCATTCAGCCGTCTTTGAATCTCGTCCAACAGGTGCTCAATAGGATTTAAATCGGGACTGAAGACGGTGCAGGCGATAACGTGGTGTCAGAATGGGTCCTCGGTGTGGCCTGTGACAGTGGAGGTGTCTGCTCGTCAGTCGTCGACGCACGGTGTCCGCACTAATGTGTCGCTGGTGTGTCCCATGGTCTGTCGAGCAGTTTCCGCAGCAGTAACAAAGCGATCTTGAAGATGCTGTCGCACAATCTGACGATCCTGACGTCGGGTGGTGACCCTTCAACTACGTGGACGGCCATCTGTAGTATTGATGGTCTGGTACCGTTGCTGGAGCCTGTATATGGTCCTTACGTAGACTTGAAATGCATTGGCTACTAGCCGGGTGGCTTGTCTAGCTTGCAATCGTCGCTTTCTTCTCAATCTTGGCATGTGGTAGCAATTCAATAACGAATGGATGTTTTTCGATCTGGGTGGATTTTTATAGGGCAAGAAATGGGTGAACGCTTGTGCATATCAATTTGCACGGAACTCATGTGCATCGGGTTACCATGGCCGTTGCCGTGATGCTTTTGGGCGATCGGTTTTATTGTCATCTGCTTTGTTTTTTCATCATCAAATTTCATTTTTCCGGACAAGGTAATGTTAAATTTTAGAAACTTTGACAAAAATTACCTAGATATTTCAATGACAACCTTTCGTGCAATGTTACTTGGGTGACGTTTCTTTTGCGGTTCAGTATATTTGAATTGGAACGAGTTTTCACCTGTCATGAGCTTTACATATCATGACAGCAACATAGGTAAAACAAGAAAGAAGTGAGCAAAGCTCACATACCCCCGTTATCCCCGCTGGTCAACATCAAATAGTTAATAGTTTGTAAATTAATTAAATATTACATATTTCTAATTGATTTTAACTTCAATGTGTTAAAAACTACGATTGAGTTCCAGTGACAATTCACCCCCTCCCCCCCCCCCCCCCCCCCCCAATCTCCCATGTTACCAGTGTTCACTACGAGGAAGTAGATCAATTTTTGAAATTATATTAGCTATACAAAACCAGTCATCAAAATTTCTAAATTCCATCATGTTTCCATGAAAACAGCAAAAGAGAAAACTTTCAGAATCTTATAAAAAGATAAAAAAAACAATCATAGCGGTTAATGTAGCAAGTTTACTGAAGCTAGGATACATAATATTGTAAACATGGATCGTACAAAAACTCTACCCCAAATTTATGTTTCACCATGATTCCATGGAAACGGCAAAAATAAAAAAATTCAGAATCTTCAAACTAGCAAATAGCACAACTACTCATTGTGGTAAATGTGTGTAGAATGTTTGGTGAAGCTAGGGTGCATAGTTAAAAAGATATAGGCCGTACAAAACACCCACCCTAAAAATTTAAGTTTTTTAATGTTTCCATGGAAACGGCAAAAATTAAAAACTTCAGAATCTTCAAACTAGCCAAAGGCACAAGTACTCATTGTGGTAAATGTGTGTAGCAAGTTTGGTGAAGCTAGGGTGCATGGTTAAACAGTTATGTGCTGTACAATATTACAGTGTAGACATAAAACAAACATGAGCAATATTAAACAAAGATGTTTTCAGTCAATTAGTTATTAGAAAATAAAACCAGGCTATAGACCACAGGCCCTCAAAGCTAGACCACCTAACTGGGGATCATGGGGACTTACAGTGCTTTTGCTTCTGATTCCCAGCAGGATTTAGGCCATCACTTTGGACACGAATGGTTGTACGCAATGTTAACCAATATTAAAAAATCAAAGCACAATCAAGGAATTAAAACACTATGGATATTTAATAGTTCAATATAGATGGACTCACGTGCCACTGTTAGGGGAACAATAAATTTACACTACTTTAATCCCCTCAGTGGCACCGCCATCATACATCTCATTTGAGAATAATATCCCACTATTCTAAAACAATTCAAAATTATCAAATAATACTTCTTTTTTTAAAAATACGAGAATTAAATGAGCACTGATATTATATAAAATAAAATATCCTAGATGTTGAATGATAATAGTTATCCCTTATGAGCGAAAAATCAACGCAGTCAAGCAAAACATGCTTGACTGTGATTCTCTCATCACAAGGGACACAGAATGGAGTATCCTCGCCTTTTAATAGATACTCTTAGGCATATCGACTGTGTCCAATACGACATCGTCGCAAAACTACTTCGTCATGTCTCAAATGACAACCCAGTAAGTATATCCTATGGTTGTATTTTTAGCATGAAATTTGTTTATACCTTCTTGAGTGTTTCACTTCTTTTGCATTAGATCTTTGATGTGGCATCTAATTATTGGCTTGTAATCACTGTATGGTAACAGAATTGGTGTTACTGATTTTTTTTTAGTGCTGCCTTTGCAGCAATATCAGCCATAGTGTTGCCGGCGATTCCAAACCAGCAAAAGACGATGTCGTATTGGGCAGTAGCGAAAAAATTATGCAATTCTAAAATATTAAGTATCAACGGTATGACAAGGAATCAGAAAAGATGATGAACGGTTGAGATGATTGGTTAAACCAGGAAATAATATTTAATTAATGTACAAATTTTCAGTTGTGTCCTGTACTTGACACGACTGATAGGGAAATATGTTTATGACGTTGTAATATTGTTTTCATTTCAGTGGAATCGTAACTACTTCACCTGGAATCACATTTTATTACTTAAAACAGTTTAATTTCACATGCTGTTACGTGTCGATTCCCAAATTGAAGCATAACGTTAATCCTGAAGTCTTGCTGAAAATAAACGCTGTCTATAGTCATCAGAAATCCTTACTGAAAGCAGTCAGCTGAACGACGTATAAGCATGTGTTTACGAATCACTATCTGATAGTGAGGATACCTGAGGCGAAAAGGTGGGCGTATCCTGCCCAACCAGTGGCACAGGTCACAAACGCAGGCAAAGGCAAGTCTAGTGTTCAGTTGAACAGACACGGGCACATGGTGAACAAGTCGAAATAGGGAATTGCATCGAACCATTACATTCTCGTCACAACTTTTAAATATATATGGGGTTGGCAATTTGATCCAATATGTGCCTATGGTGGAAAATGCATCATCTTCCCGAGGCAAGTGAGTTAACTGACTATAAAAGTCCAGTTTCCACCCTTGCCGAACTAGGCTGGTATTATGGAGTTACATTTTTGCTGGGCTAACGAGTCTATCCATAGTCGAAATCCGGTTTGTAAAATGTCGTGCAGATTTCTGTCGATTGCAGGATTTGCAAAGCATGTGCACCGCCAACTCGTTGTCAACAAATATTTTCCAAGTCTTTTCATGTTTTTAATCAAGGTGATTTGATGCACTTCGCTATGTAAGACCCGTTTTATCACAATATAGATCTTGATTATCAATCAGATCGTTTTGACTGGGCGCCACCATTTTGTTTGAAACAAATGCAAGTGATTCGAGAGGTGGAATCTGATTGGTCCATAAAAGAGGCTTAGAAGAAACATAACTCGTAATAACCACTGGTGGCGCTACGGTCGAGCCCGGAAATTCCAGCCTAGTTCGGCAAGGGTGGAAACTGGACTTTTATAGTCAGTTAACTCCCTTGCCTCGGGAAGATGAAAATGCATATGGACAGCAATATGTATATAAGTAAGACCATACATATAAGTGTGAAACCCTATCGTTGATACGCGTTGCATGCTACACGTGAACTGAAGCAAGGCACTAAATCGCAAAACAGCAATATCGTTGCGCATTTGTAGATGGATGAATGTAAATATCTGATAATGATTTCTTGGTTATTAAATAAACTGCAACACTCTCATCGAAATGAAAATTTGTTTGAGAGATGATCTATATTATTTTAAGAGGCGTACCAACCAGTGACGTGGTCCTGAAATTCATAGTATTTGAATTTAAGGTATACATCGGATTATAAATATGATTTCACCTTCGTTTCTCTACAATTGCATCGATCAACGCAAGTGGGATACGATAACATGCCTCAACCAAGTCAGCTAGTCTGACCACCCGATCCCGTAAGTCGCCTCTTACGACAAGCATAATCGCCTTTTACGGCAGCATGGGTTGCTGAAGATCTATTCTATCCCGGATCTTCACGGGTCGGGATCTTTTCTTGAGGCCTTTGAGACGATGTTTTGGTGTCTGCATCTTATGCGTGACAACGGTATAAGGATCTATATCGAAACGTCGGCTTAACAGTAATTGCAGACGTTGTTATCCATAAAGTGGGTCTACTTTGTCATCCGTGAACTTCTAAGAAATGCCTATCAAACAATTCAGCTTTAATCGGGCCTTGTAATGTTGTAACGTTGATCAAACAGCCTCTGAGTCGTATGACGCTATTTAAAAGCTTGAGAAATATATTAACACCCGTCAACACTCTTGTGATATTATATATTCTCACAACATCGGCGGTTGTTTCAATAGCTACCATTGAGCTAGCATGTCCAAATATCACACCATGGAGACTGAATAGGCCATGTACATTATACGGAACACATTCATTGACAAAGACAAAGTACCAGTATATACAAATCATAGAATGTTCAAGCTGGGAGGGGGAGGCCAGAGTTGCGTCCCTTGGACCAGCCAGAAACCAAGGATCGCTGTTCTAGGTCCATCAGTACTCCAACCGTACTCGTTGGTTTCACCAAGGTGGTAAATATTTGAGACCTGCATCATATCGGCCCTTCCTCCCAGTGTAGCCGTGACATAACTGGAATACTGTTCAAATCAGCATTAAAACCAACTCACTCAATCACTCATTCACTCACGCAAGCTGTGAAAGGAAAATACATATTTCACTTTTCCGGTCAAACAGTAGGTGCTTTCAAATGTACAAACTGCGTGCTTCAAAATAATTTGATTATTCATTGATACCGATTTCTATGTTAACCTTTGCATTTCTAATTTGGAAATCCCCTCGTAACAGTTGGTTCATTGATACATAACACTCGTTATATTAGTAACAAGCATAACGTTGTTTGGAAGTATCATATTAAGGATACATCACCTCTTCTTTATACACAGTATACACGTGGCCAAGCGAACCAAAGGATCTTTATGACATCCTTTTCAGTATGAAATATGTACGAACACATTGTCACATAAATCACATCAAACATGTAACATAGAATTATGATGAAGATACACACTGACATAGACAGGCAGTGTATTGATGCCTTGGGAACACAGGGAATACACAGGTATCAACCAATAGCTGGAATATTGACCAGAAAGTTATTACCATTGTTAAGAGCAGGTATGCACATGTGATAGCATTTGTCTGTATATTCCAGAGGTCATCTGGACCTTTGGTTCAGATGAGGTAAGACCAAAATAATGATTTGAAATATTCATCAGGGAAGCTTCATGTTTAAGAACGGCACTGCACTGGAAAATGTTATAACTTCAGCGAAACATCATGTCGGCTCATCACTATGGCATCTTTTGCGCAGATTTGCCCATATCTTTAAAGTGAAAATTGTTTAGTTGCCGGGTTATCTGTGGTTTGTCTATTGTTATCTTTCTGAGAAAATCGTCTTTTTGAATGTCCCCACAACTGCCAGCGAACATCAGTCTCTCCACCACAGTGTCATGTGAGCCGAGAACCGCAAGATGCAAAGCTGTTCTGTTCTTAAGAGTACGCAGGTTGACATCACTACGGTCAGCAAGTAGTACCTCCACAACCTCCGTATGGCCATACAGTGCAGCCAGGTGAAGGGCACTGATACATTCGCTGTCATACTCTGACGTGCATGTGTCCTTTGTAATGTAATTTTGCCATATGTTTATGGACGCATCTAAGTAGTTATGTGATTCTCCTCCAGGTGATCTTGCACTCGTGAGTCCTGCATCTTCTCTATATCTTGTGGATCTCGGTTGTACCTTTCCTGTTGGTTCTGAGGGTATCTGTTGCATATATTGAGGTAGTGCATGGTACTTTTGTTGTACCGCCTCTGTTGACCATGAATTTATTTGTGTGCTGCTATCGGGGTCTGTTGAGTTGACTTGTACTGTAGGATCTGGACTCAGTGCAGAGTCCGACACTGCAATAATTTTACCATTGTTCCATGTCTGTGGCATCACCGTGGGAAATGTTTTAACGTTAGTCTCATCATCAAGGTGAAGTTTCTCATTTTCCGCGGAAACAGACAATTGTAGACTGTGTGGTGGATCATATGGCTGATTCTGTACGTTACCTTTCCTCAATTCAGATGCTTTATTGGACCTATGCATTCTCGTATCAGATACCCCTGCTGTCAGCAGTGCCTTGACTACACATGCGTATCCCCCTTTTGCTGCTAAGCGTAGAGCAAGTGGGAGCGGGGAGCATTCAGTCGTCCCACTCTTGACTTCATTTTCCTTGTCAATGAGAGTCATAGCCAAATCAACACGTCCACGTTCAAGTGCTGTGATGAGTGGATTCGTTGAACATGTTTTGGCACAGCTGTGATAGTCACACTTTTCAATAAAGAGGTTAACGATACCCAGGTGTCCGTTCATGCAACCAACTTCAAACAGTCTCAATCCTCTATGATCTCTTTCATTAATAGCTTCTTGTGCTGTGTAATATTTTAGCAGAAGCCCAGCAATGCCAGTATGTCCCTTCTCTATTGCAAGATGCAGAGGAGATTTCTCTTCGAAATCTTGTACTTTTCTATTGGGCATGTACCTTAATGTTTTTTCCAGGAATTCTTTATTTCCAGATAAGGCTGCCAAGTGGATAAATTGTTGGCCATTCTGTAGACACATTTTCACATCAGCCCCATTCCTCCTGAGTATGTCAAATATTTCATAGCTCTTCGTTTTAGCTGTTAAGTGTAGAGGAGTGAAGCCGCTTTTGTTTGATTGGTCAATTAAGAACCCATCTGTTCCTAAGACCTTATTGATTAAATATTCCACAGAATCACTGTTGTTGCTCTCCACAGCTAAATGTAGGGCTGAGTTTCCATCATTGTCTACTTCTCTGACGTCACAGTTGGTTCTCAAAATGTGTTTAATTATATCACAGTTGCCTGTAGCACATGCCAAAAGAAACTGAGTTTTCCCTTGTTTGTCCTCTATCTCATCACTGCAGCATGGAAGAAGTATATCAACTATTTCCAGATGTCCATTTTCAATTGCCAAATGAAGTGCAGTTTTGCCATTTTCATTTTGACAATTTACATCTGCACCATCATCTAACAATACCTGAACACATGGTGCGTGTCCAGCTTCTGCGGAAATATGCAGTGCAGTGTTGGATTCATTATCAAATACATTTGAATCTGCAGAATTACGCAAGAGCAGTTCTACGATGCCGGTGTGCCCAAACCGACAACACACATGCAAAGGTGTTTCCCCAAACTGACTACAATCCACAATTAGTATTTCTGCCCATTTGGCTAATATGCCTTGTAATCCTTGTATATTCCCAAACTCACAGCAACCATACATAGCATTTATTAACAACTCACTCGACAGTTCTGTGGTTGACAGAACGTTATAAAGAATGACGTTGGATCCACCGTGTGATATCAGATAAACGTTCATTTTCATAGATGGTGGATCTCTCCCGAGCAGGAACGTTTTATCAACAAACACAGGCATCATTCTCTGCATGAGTTCCGTTTTTCTCAGCAGCCTGCTCTTCAATGCACCAAGAAGATCACTTTTTGCCAAGTTAGTTAATCTTTGCAGAACAACATCCAGTAAAAAGTCTGGCACAGAAATATCCATGTCAGATTGCGAATTAGCTTCCATGGTAATATGTTCTTTGAGAAAGCTATCATCTCCATGATGCACAATGAACTCAGGATCTTCCTGTCCAATGGCCAATGCTGTGCTGTCATACACATGTCGGTGACAAAAAGTGGCAAAGTTACCATTTACTTCTATTATGGTTTCTGACAGGTTGTCCAGGCACCTTGCAACTGTCCTCAGTGGCGTTTGTAAGTCCACGTCTGCCAAAATATCTTCATATTCCTTTCTCTGTAACTTAGAATTTGATTTTAGTTTTACAACATCTAAGCGGCCACCTTCAGACAACATCAAATAGAAAAGACTTTTCTTCACCTCGTCTCTTGTCAGCGATTGCATCAGTGGTAAGAAGAATTTCATAGAGAAGGTGTTAGCATTCTCTAGGGTGTCAAGCATTTTGAATATCCATGGATATCCAAGCTGCGGGACAATGGCACACGCTGTGCTAATGTCCACACTTCTCTGTAGAAAATGTTTTGCAAATTCGGATTTCCTCAGTTTTCGTTCTGCATGATCATCATACAACTTGAAAACAGTAAATCTGCTTATCAGCTGTACAGTTCTTTCACGTGTGTCTCCCCTTGATTCTTTCAAAATATAATCCCTGCTGAGCAGTAGTATTCTTATATCGGTTGAGCTGGTGTCTAATTGGTGGAGAGCAGAAGCCCATTCCTTTGCTATTTGCCTGTCAAAATTGTGGTGACCAAAAACATCATCAATCATGATAACAACTTTCTGTCTCAAGCGTATTTGTAATATTTCGTTAGGTACTTTACATATGAATGGCGTAAACCCATCGCTACACATCCTGTTCAGGACTTGATACCCTATGGTTGTTTTGCCCTCGCCGGCCGGCCCCGTGAGCATGACAATTGGATTCTCAGCTAGGCAAGTTGATAGTTTCTGAACGACCTCTGTGTCCTTAAACAATTCCTCGAGACCTATCATCTCCTTTCCGGTTCTCTCTGAAATGTAGATATAAAAAACATTAGATACAACGGCATGTATTACACCTTGTCATGAGCACCTGGTACCACAACTATTTGATAGTGATACAGTCGGGATCGTTCAACAGTCTGCTCTCAGCCCAGATATACTATGATTAAGTGAAATGTATATATAGAAAAACATTACAAGTTCATTGAAACAACGTCATGTAATACACATTTTCGTGAGCACCTGGTATCACAACTATTTGATAGTGATACAGTTGAAATCGTACAACAGAGATATACTATGATTATGGAATAGGTTTTGTCGCATTTAGTATTGTGATAAAGTCGAAATCATACAATGGTCTCTGATTTTAGCAGACAAGTCTTATATTTATTGATAGGGTTTTGTCACTGTCTTGCATATTTCATGACATCAGTATCATTGTACTTAACACAGCCCATGGCTGGGACAAAAATAATTGTGTAATATCCATCAGTACATTATAAGCGTGTTCGTTATAAACGTAGTGTACTGCACGTGGGTACAACCACTAACAACGAGCTTTACGCTACTTGTTGTATTTTTTAAATATCACAGTGGGACGCACAAGAACTGAACTTCACACATTCCGGATAACTAAGTCCACGACGTTGGCATGACGAGCAAACGTTTAAATCACAGGGGATACTCAAAAAGATAAAGCAAGAATCATCACAATTAGTCTTACCTTGTAATTGTCGACTGATATTGGCATCTGATGGCTCGTCATTGCGACTGGGATCTTGCTTACCGGATGGTAGGTTGTCTCCAATATATGATCTTCCCACCCCTGTTGGTAAGATGATAAGTTAATAGATACACCTGTTTGGTGATTTTACAAAGGTAATGACAAACGTGGTTTGGTTGAATGATTTTTTAAAGGAAGTAATAATCAATTATGTAAAGTAATTATTGTTTACACACTATTGCTATTTACTTATGAGAGGAACACTTCATCAGATATTTCTCATGATTCATTCACACCGTTTTCAATTGACTTAGTTCGGTGAATTCAGGCTTGTCGTCCTTACCGTCACAATTGGCCACTGTGTATCTCGGTCTTTCAAGTATCCAATCGTTCGGCTCGATTGCTATAGCAAATCAAGTAAACATCATTTAAATTGACATCGCTATATGTGACATAGATCTACTATTATGTAAATTAAATATTTTTGCTAATTTAAATTGCGCACCACGGTTATATCTTTTTTATTCATATTAATTTTCAAGTATCATCTACACATGCCCTTAAATCTCAAATTAGCAACTACCAAATTCAAGTGATGATTCTTTGAATTTACGCTGATTATTTCCAGACTTTCGTGACAAAATCCAAGGCGCTATCTGTATTTAACGGATTACGACTGGATACAACGAACTGTGTTTTCAAATAGCTCACTTTCAAGAAAAATAACTTTTATCATCCCTCATAGGGTTTTGTAATATTCGCATACAAGTTGCTATGTTCTTTATCTAAGCAGGTTGCTATGTTCTTTATCTAAGCAGGTTGCTATGTTCTTCATCTAAGCCGGTTGCTATGTTCTTTGTCTAAGCAGGTTTTTATGTTCTTTATCTAAGCAGGTTGCTATGTTCTTTGTCTAAGCAGGTTGCTATGTTCTTTATCTAAGCAGGTTGCTGTGTTCTTTGTCTAAGCAGGTTGCTATGTTCTTTATCTAAGCAGGTTGCTATGTACTTTATCTAAGCAGGTTGCTATGTTCTTTATCTAAGCTGTTGCTTTGTTCTTTATCTAAGCAGGTTGCTATGTTCTTTGTCTAAGCAGGTTGCTATGTTCTTTATCTAAGCAGGTTGCTGTGTTCTTTTCTAAGCAGGTTGCTATGTTCTTTATCTAAGCAGGTTGCTATGTTCTTTATCTAAGCAGGTTGCTGTGTTCTTTTCTAAGCAGGTTGCTATGTACTTTATCTAGGTGTTTGTTATTAATACGTACGTATCCTGTGTTTGCTTGATAACAAATCTGAAACAGCAGAGAAAATGTATATATGCAGCAAAGGATGTAGGGTTAATAGGACACTTGTTGGCGACTTTAGTTGAACACCGCCTTGAACAGTTTTCCAGTTACGTAACGGCGTGTGAGCTTAATTTTGGATGAAAGCCTGAAATGATGCTCGATTGCAATTTGGTGACATCCCCGAGCACGGGTATGGTGCTGAAAAACCTTAAAACATAATCGGGGCGAACTGGGATTCGACCCCACGATCATTTTTGGCACAAATTGTTGACTGGGCTACTTGTGGTAAAGATAAAGATTACAATTATTTTGACATGTTTTCATAGCTTTATTACGCGATTAAAGATACTTGCGTTGCATCGATAGTTTGATCAATACATCCAAACTATCAAACATCAACTGCATAGGACATATTTTTTTGGTTGGGTTACACAATGCAAACATACAAGATGTTTCGGTCATACATGTATTTGTGTCAACAAGGTATGAAAACATATATACCTGACTCTGTATACAATGTATCCAGTGGGCCATGGAAGATCTACGAAAAGAGCAATGTGAATGAAAACATTTATTATTGTGTATATGTATTTTTCATAGCAATATAATTACAGTAAACTAAGGTTATAACGAACTCAAATGAACCACTAATTTTAGTTCGCTATAACCGTAGTTCGTTATAAGCGTATAACGAACATCTATACAGCAAATGGCTGGGACCAAAATTTAAGTTAGTAATATCCGTCAGTTCGTTATAAACGTGTTCGTTATAAACCCTTTTTACTGTATTGATAATATTCACTATGAGAAACTAAATTGGATATGCAGTAGAAGCCCATTGTCTCAAACCAAGCGTGAACGTGATGTAACTTCGAGATACCCGGACATGCCAGATAACGAGACATGAATATTGAGACAGATCAAGTGACAGTATTATAGATACGCAGCAATACGATTACATGCACAAGAAGTTAGAAACACAATACGTGGGTGTGAGGACATATTGAAATCTATTTCACCAGCAATAATTAATAACAACTGTGACAAAGTATGTACAGAGTACATGTACCTCATTAGGCATAGCAACCGACACTATATTAGTCTGGTCACCTGATAAAATAACAAAACCATTCTTGCCTCAAGCTTGTTAATTCACACCTTGAATATTGTGAGTAGCGTCAAACCTGTGAATGTGGCAAAGCCAACTTCGAGATAAAGGTACAAAACTCAATTCAATACTAGAAAACTAGAAAACTAGAAAACTAGTAAATATATATTGTCAATGCAAGACAAAGTAAGGACCTACTACAAGGTTCGACTTAATGCATTTTCTATCTAGAATTCGAGATAAGCCGGAACATTTATATGGTGTGACGGTCGGGTAGGGAGAATAGGTTCGACTGTAGTCAACACAATTACATTGATCTAATAACACATTACGTTATGTTGAAGATACGTCAATGTATATATTTCTAAATACACTTCTTATTCCTTCTTTTACTTTACTTTTCAAATCATACCAACCTCATTTTTCTTTTCATACAGTGAAGATGCATCCACGTTCTTCAATAAATCATCTTCATCTATGAATGTAAACATAATACAACCCTTTGTGAAAATACTTCCATAATTTGGATGCTGGCAAATAATAATAAATTAAAGCAAGGAAACACTGTCCTGATTCAAAAGAAAGCTCTGCCAACGGCAGAGTCGATTGTACGATTTTAACTTTATCCGGAGCATGCGTTTATGAATCATGTTCAAGTAGTGATGATACCAGGTGTTCGCGAAAAGTTGAGGGTATCCAGCCCCACCAGTGGCACCCGTCACAAATCCATGCAAGGCAAGTCATTTGTTCACACGAAAAAACACAAGATAAAAGGTACAAGTAATCTTTGTCACCGATGCGTCAAATTTGGAAATGTCCTCCACATGTCTACCATAAAACCTTATGAAAGCTCTACTGCATCTTCCTGAGACAAGGGAGTTAATTGACTTTAAAAGTCCAGTTTTCACCCTAGATGAACCAGGCAAAAATTGTGGTTTTACATGGCATAGTCTTATAAGGTGTATAATATAATTTCGTGTAACGAAATCGACAACAGGTTCATAAAGAACATGACAACTGCAGTGCAGATTTCGGTCGATTGCACAATTTGCAGAGCATGTGTGCCGTCTACAGGACGTCGACAGATATCTTCCATTTTTTTTCATGCTTTTAATCAAGGTGCTCAAATGATTTGATGCACATCGGGAGGTAAGACCTATTATAGTACAAGAGAGATCTTGATTATCTTGACTTCGGTGCCGCCATTTTGTTTGAAGCAAAAGCAGATAATTTGAGAGGCGGAATCTGATTGGTCAATAGGAGGGACATACTACGGACATAACTCGTAATAGCCACTTGTGGCACTACAATCACGCCACGAAATTCCAATCTTGTTCGGCGAGGGAGGAAACTGGACTTTTATAGTCAGTTAACTGACTGAGGCCTTGAATATTGTAACCTTGATCAAACAACTTCGGCGCAAGAGTCGTGTGAATTCTTGGTAGAAAGTACACGCTTGATTGTACCTCAAAAGTTGTGAAATGTAAACCAAAAAGTATGAAGCTGCAGAAATGTTAAAGGGATTCATAACTAATATAATGTGTATTATAACTAGCGATTTTACTGACGCCTCAATAATTGTACTAATCACCTAGATTGCATGTGTTGTTCGCCAAACAACGTCGTGTCTCAAGAAACATGGGTTATATAGTGTTGACAGAACTGTGGTCGTGTATGACGAGACAGACAGTATTACAGTGGGTAATCAATTATTTAAAAAAATGTATGTCTTCTTGTTCTTCGATCTTGTAAATACTTCAAAAACATGATCAACAATAGTCTTTAGTCGGTATGACTTTTGTGTATTTGAGAGGGAAAGTCAAAGACAATCAATTAAATAACATTGAAGGGGGATATCAAGCAGCTCTCACTATGGAGACAAGCAGCTATCATCTTTATGTGTCTAGAAAATATGAAAGTATAAATACCTGATTTTGTATTCAGTGAAGGAGCCAGTTTGTTGTTTCGGAGATTGTGATCACTGCCACATAACACTGAAAAAAATAAATAATAATAATAATAATAATCTGTACATAATTAGTTTAATCTGTACATAATAATGATAATAATCTTCACATTCTCCGAAGTCATCGGATAATCATGTACAACGCTCAATGACAACGTGTAAGAGCTTATTTGAAGTAAACCTAGGATGGGTGGGTTTGACTAGGCAGCGCTGCCTGGAAGAAGTCCCATTCGCTGTCTGGGATGCATGTAGAGTAGGGGGGCAAGGGCCCTGAGCTGATGATGAGCCTAACCAATATGACTGTGCCAGAATCAACCAAACCCTCTTTGCTGCATTTTCTTTTATTTTAGTCTGAACAAAATATCAATAAGAAGAAGAATGATGGATGAAGTCGTCTGGCCTGAAAGGTGAAACATCACTTTCGAAACGTCACCCTTACATCCCAAGTACCAAGTTGTCCGACTCCCCGTTGTTCGGGGTGCCTGAGGTTTTGAACCTCCCAATCTGTTGACTGACATTGGGAGAGTACCCGGGTTTGCTAGCAGGAATACAGCCCTGCTCACAATCTGGGCAATGCAGAAGTCTGCAGTGTTGGGGGGTCTTCACATGTGACAATATATGCCCAATTTCATCAGTGGAAAGCCAGTGATTTCAAAGAATTTGTAAAAATGATAAATACTTGAATTTAAACGTCACTTTCAAACACAAGAAAACGCTAACAAATGTCGGCACACCCCTTATCATAGGATGGAACCCCTGCCACAAGATCTAAATTACATTGTTTATAAAGCTTTAAGCAAGATACTAATTGAGTAGAACTAACCTTGTTCTGTAACTTCCACCACTTCCCTACTGGGATGATGTCTTTGCGTCGCTACAAAATACCATGCTCATTTCAGGATATTTAGGTAATTCATGTTCATATACATTAGTCTTCTTGGGCTTACATATTGTACCTCCTGATCAATAGTTCGAATTAAAGGCATTATAAACAGTTACGACATATATCCATTTCTATCCTTCTTGCAATGAAGTAATTGGTTATCGCTAATCACCGCATATACATGAGTTGAGTCGTTGCACGCAATAGTTGGGCCTAATCAGGATGACTTGTATGTAACTGTGCTTGGACAGGCAAATCGCATGTAACAAGAGGGATGGTTTAAATGCCAGGGTAACATTCAGGTAACAGATGTACCACATGTCCCCATGGTCCCCATTGTAGTGGCCAAACTTTTGTTGCTGATGACATATAGCCTGGTAGTTATGGCTTCGTTGTCTGATTGTCTAAATGAAAGTAAATATGTAATGTTCAATGCGAGACACAATCGAAAACCAACTTATATCAGCGAGCTTCTTGAAGAGTACGTGCCTGGGAGATCTCTCAGATCAAGCTGCCAGTCCCTACTCTCTGTGCCTAGTGCACTTTGTTTTACCTGTTAGAAATTAAGGGAATGGTAATGAAACTTACAATTGTCATGGTTGAAAAACCAGGTATTAGAAATATGACGGCGACTTTTGGAGGTCGGTGTTTCGCCAAAATTGCCCCTGAGCTATGGAATAGGCTGCCATTGGATATCAGGAACATTGACACTCCTACTTTGTTCCGATCAAGACTCAAAACCTTTTCACCAAATCGTTCTTAGAGTATTGAGGCTTTGTGTTTTTCTAGCTGTGTAATGTCTCTTTTTTTGTGTAGACTCAAATGACGCGCTTTTGAGCAATTTGAGCAGCGCTTTATAAATCTGTAGTTATGAATATATTACTCAGGATTGTCCTTGACTTCAGCTATTATAAGATACTGTTTTGTGTAAACTTGTTCACTATTGTAACATATTTCGGATTAGTTTTATCAATCCATAATTTATATAATAACCAGAGGAATTCAATGGTGTAACATGTGCGAGGGATCTACAATTAATTCTAAAATGTCATCTGGGCCAAATGTTGATATGTAATGCCCATCAAAAGATGGCAACCCTGTAGCGGAAATGTGGCCAAGATTACAGTAATTTGAACTCACGCACTTTCTTTTACCTGTTAGAAATCAAGGGAATGGTAATGAAACTTACAATTGTCATGGTTGAAAAACCAGGCATTAGAAATATGACGCTGATGTATGATGTCAGTCATCATCTCTTCTTCAATATCCAATGCTACAATATTCACAAAGTCTTCTTGTGGTTGTTTGTGAAACTCTGAGACCTCTGACACTTTAGAACACACCTTCCAACTGGAGAAGAACATCATGTTATCATTCATATAGCTCTTGCCACCATCACGTAGAACTGGAACTTCCTGACTATTATTGAACCTTCAACCATTTCTATCAATTTGATATTTTACATTATATGATCCAGGTCTGTGTGCTACAGATAATTCCCTCATATACTGTAAATATATTAGATTTTACTCAATTTAGAATAGAAACGAAAGTTTATCGAAATAATCTAACCAGTTATAATTGAGAACAGATGATGCAAACAAATCATTTTCGAAACAATATAACTTTCAATAATTTAGCAAAAGAAATAATCACCTTTGAATCTGGGCCATGTGCCTCTTGGTTGTTACTACAAGAGTTTTCCCCAAAGTTGTCAATCTATTGATTATCTCCCTTGTAATATCTAGCATAGAATGTTCACTTCTGCCAATAACTAAAACCCGGCTGTGATCAATGTTCTCTGAAATGACACAAAAATGTTCTTTACAAAGGAGTGACAAACCATCGTTTGCATTTGAACTCTTGACATGAGCAGTCCTGGTTGCTGCAGATGCTATGAGCGCTTCAGTCAAATGTCTGCACTTTTTATCTCCCATGCTCAGAGACTCTGGGATTGCGAACTTCGAGCCCTTCTCCTCTATGCACCGTATAGCATTTTGAAAGAGTTCTTCTGACTCTAAGTCAGATTCACTGATGACACCAGACAATAGAGTGAAATGTTCATCTGTGAATCCCTTCATTGTTGTGATTAATTCTTTGGTGAGAAACAAGTTGTAAGCTTTGGTATCCTTTGATATCAGGATACTTTTGCTGAGCGTCAGCACCAGTCCAGTCTGTCCTGGGACAAGCATACAAACATCGAGTACAGCATCCTCTGTGATAGCTTTGTTTGTGTTTAATCCAAAGGAGACTTTCAGTGATCGCCCAATATACACCAAACCGTTCTGACCAATATTTGGCAGTGCAGCTATTCGTCTCAGAAGGGATGCTTCTGTCTCTTTTAGGTATTGAGGTATTGTCCGTGGAAATGTCCTAAATGGAACTGCAAGGAAATAACAAGCATGTACACAAGTAAGATCGTCTAATTCATGGAAATAGTGGTAAGTACAATAAACATATTACCCATTTTGGGTAGCTAAAGGGTGTAAGATTTCTGTTTGATGTTTGTATTTTGATTTATACACTTAATGAATTATATATAAACCAAATACATCCTTTGAGTTAATGTACCAGTCCTAGGGAGAAATGTGCTTTACCGAGCTTGACAACCCATGGTTTATACAGTTAAGATATATATATATATATATGTGTGTGTGTGTGTGTGTGTGTGTGTGTGTGTGTGTGTGTGTGTGTGTGTGTGTGTGTGTGTGTCATTAGTGTCATTTGGGGGTTATCATCGTTACGTACAAGTACAATTGGATCCGCGCTTTATAGGCTATGCACTGGCTTTCAGATCTTAAAGTACTTGCCCTTGTGTGTAAGGTTCTGCATGGACTGCCACTAGAGAGCCTGGCTGACCTTACAGAACCAAAGAAATCCTTCATGTCCATCCATCATTCTACTCGCAGTGCAGAAAGCACACGCCAATCTGATGGCGATCGGGAATTGCTCACAGACGAACACCTTTGGTACGTTCCAGCTCAGATCACAGTGGGAAGCCGAGTACATCTTAGTGTATACTGAAGACCCACTGTTTTAGTGTGGAATATATTATCTTCAGCAACAGTGAACGTTTCAGGTCTGTATCATAGCGCTCACTCACTCACTCACTCACCCAACTAGAGTGAGGCACATGCTAACAAATTCACAAGCTATACTTACACTCCTGCCCATCGTTCATGAGAACATAGTTTACAATTTGATTCTTCGCATCCTTTGGTTCTTTGACAGAGGATGTAAAAGGGTATGAGGTCGGCATGCCCAATTCCACCAGATTACCATAGGTAGTGCAGTCTGGAATACGGATTTTACTTTAAAGCGTACTGCTGCAAAAATGTTAGCAAGCTTATATGCTCATGCTATATAATGAATTTACTTTTGTCACATATTTGCGTCAATCATGATGGAAAGTGATACAGGAAGCAGGGTATTTTACATCCCTATGATCCCCAATAAGCTGCTCTAGATATCTGAATTTGCACCTGGTTTATTTGATAACACTTGATGTACTGATTAATAATGTGCTTTAATTTTGACATGGATTGTTTTGTCCCAAAGTGTCATACCCGAATAAACTCATTTAATATCCTTTGTCTTTTCTATGTTCTCACCGCGTTATGGCTGAAATATTGCAGATGTGATGTAACATTTTAAGACACTCAATCACTGGATTCACTAAGTCTTTCCTGTCTGGCTCTGAATATGCTAATGTCTCACCTGATAACTGAACTCTACGGATCCCTTCTCGTCGGCTGGTATCTGATAACAAAAGTCATATTTTAAACCTGCCCAAGAGTTTACTCGTTTATCCCGTCTAAGAATTATGCGATGTCTTTAGTTTAAAAAGAAGTTGTATGACCTGTTCATAACACTATGTAGGGCGTTAACAGATTAAGTGTGTTTGTTTAATACATTCAGCATTCAGAATTCCAGAAATATGACGGCCTGTATATAATCAAGTCTGGACCAGACAATCCAGTGCTTGATGTCATGAGCAACGGTACACGTCATCAGAGCACGATTAGTATATATCAAACAAATCACCACGCGATCTGTTTGGTCGCCTCTTACGACCAGCGTAGGTTGTTGGGGACTGTTCTAACCTAGACCCCCCATGAAGCTGTATAAACATTACGCGGAGGCCTACCAGCTGCCGGAAATTCGTTCACTGGATCAGAGAAACCAGTGATTGATATTACGAGAGACACCCCATGCCATCGGACTACAATGGTAAAGTAAGTGCAGTTGTCATCAAATACTTTCTGAATAGACAATGAAAATTGAAAAGATATTGGAATTCTAATGAATATATTGTATATCGTTACCGTCTTTGTCCATAGTTTCGCTTGAAGTAAACGATATTGAGATGGCACAGGCGACTGAAACAGAAATATGTATTTAAATGTGATACAGGTGTCATTCCACTACAGGGTATTGTCAAGGTCACAAACTTACATGACAACAATGAAAAAAATGATTTAATTCGGACATTAATTTATTACCACACTGTAACCCATTAAATTATGTCTATTTGTAAAATACGTGTGTATACTTGTCCAATTATGCTTACTTGTATATACTTGTCCAATTATGCTTAGTTGTATATACTTGTCCAATTATGCTTACTTGTATAGTATCTGACCAATCATTGATGTCTTTTGGTGTGAAAACATGTCCATCCAATGCTCTCCATTGATATATTATTTGTCCATCCAATAATATCTATTTGTATAATGCGTGTCCATCTAATTACGTATACTTTCAAAACCAATAAGCAATATTCGAAAAAGCTGATCATTATAGAAATACACAGAGGTATCGAGGGATGTCAGTGTGGATGGGACAAAGGAAAGACTAGAAACAACCAATAAAGACCACAGGGATCTGTCGTCTGAAAATATGAACGTCAATGACGGGTCCAACACGTGAACGCCGAGTATGCAGATTAGCTGCAGGCAGACGAGTTACATTCTTCTGGTCAGTAAACTTGAACTAAACTGGTCTGCTGCAACTAAACAGCAAGTTGATTGGCTGTTTGGGCTTGATTTCTGAAAGCATGGTTAATGATTATTCGATGCTGGACTTGTGTTGTTGACCTAGGGCGCCGCGTTCTCGCGCCTTATTGATTTGGTGAATTTTAAACGTCCATATTTGAAACAGATATGTTTAACTTTCATGTGAAGAAAGGTATTGTTTCATTCTGTTTATACTTGTCTCTGGCTAAGTACATGTGTGTATGTTTTAACATGTTGATAGGGACTTCTTTACCACATTGAATATATAAATATTTTATGTTGCAGGTTTATTTGCAATTGGACATGCTGTAATTCTATGAATGTTAAAATCCATCGTCACCCGTGACGTTCACAGATAAACACGGATTCTAGACAAGTTTGGTCGTCATTGACATAGAATATATGAACTGGTTGAGTGGTTTCCCACGAAGAATGAAAGGATTAAAAATCCTTCGCACATCCTATCTGAATGGTGTTCACAAGTATTCACTGCCAATTTCTTCCAATAATAAACTGTTACCTTTGGTATTCCCAAGCACCAATACTCGGTATGGTCATTAAGCAATTGGAAAAAAACACAAACACACATGAAATCCTGTCTACATGGTCACATTCGATGATTGTTAAAATCACAATATAGAATACTAAACGAGCTCCCGTGTCATACCAATTTTATGAAATGAGTGAATAGTTCTGGTATTTGACGAGCGAAAAATTGGTATTACACGGGAGCAAGTTTAGTATTTTATTTATTACTTGCCATTTATAACTATTTTTAGAATGTCATTGTCGTGTATGAATTAGGCAGACACCTACACGATCCACAACGTGATCCAATTGAGTTTAACAGAATAATACTTCAAACACGTCAAACATTGATAGATATTGATTTAATGAAATACAGCGGCCCGCCTTTAGAATCCAGGCGTCCGTTCCACAAAGTTATGGTGGCGCTAATGTTATCGTTACTCACATGCTTTAACAGAAACTTACGACTGTCGTTGCGCTACAATCCGATCGCCTTGTGGAACGAGACCTCCACCACAAAGTTTACAATCACTTCACAATACTCTATGACGTGATTTGAATAATTTTGTTGCATGATCCATCGGCGAAACAATGTCATGTGACATCAGCCTAGCAACGGGGTTGCTGGGGTCATTGAGTGTGCATAAGCTCCTCTCAGTGTTCTATCATCTCCTCGCGCAATGTGGTTGAATAATCCAAGAGATGTTGAGAGCTTTCAATGTTTGTCAGTGGAACTGGTTCCCGCAGTACATGAGCACGAGCTTTGGTATTACACAATGTGTAATACAGCTGTATGTTGATTAAACAGGTGATCTCTTCACGGGCAAGTAATAAAATCCTATCTACAACACGGCAGTCTATATTCATTTTCAATATCATGTTATAATTAGTGGGGTTCACTCACAAAACGCAGGCCATAGGTTGATTTCTATTACAAAATGAATGCCGATCATATCTAATTAATGAATGAATCATTCCAAAATTCTACATACTTTATGAAGTTTAAATATCTTGTATTTAGAATAAAGATCAATGGGTCACTATACTAAGTTTTGATAACAAGACCTAGAGCAGATGGCTTATCCCTCAACATCTGTTTCATTTCAATTAATCAACACATATTTTATTGACACTAGACCATGGGCGGATACAGCTTTTTTGAAAAGGGGGGGTGCACAAATAAGATCTATTTATTGTCTTTGGTGGTAATTCATACAGAAATAAAAAAAAAAATTCGAAATAAAAAGAGGGAGGTGCGCAAATTCGCCATTGCTAGACTATTCAGTTTATGACGACCCATGTGCAACAGATACTCAACAAATCTTTGGAGGATACCAGTAGTGGCATATATTAGAAATACGCATTCTGAAAAGATATCCAGAGTCTCCGACCAAATTTCACCTTAAATATTCTTACAAAAAAAACACAAATGGGATAACTACAAAGTCACACCATTTTTTTCCTGAGATACCATTTGCCCCTCAACACGATAATATTTTGGTTATTCATATTTCAGTTTATTTTATTTGTCGTTAATTATTCACCTGCCTCCCTTATGTTTTAAGAAAAGTTTATTACCACTAGCCATAGAGGTAAGCCTAAAAAACTATAGACAAATGCATTTCCTTCATTGTAAGTGTGTATCTAACAAACTCCTTGACCACATTCTTTACCACAATTTTTATAACATATATGGCAGTGTATATTTCACCATTACGATGGAATATATTTACAATTCATTTGATCAATTGCGAAAATTAAATGCTGCACTAAACTTAAGTGATTTATGATTGTGTATCTCTTATAATCACGATGAAAAGAGGGACGGTCGGGTAGACTAGTGGTTAAAGCGTTCGCTCGTCACGCCGAAGACCCGGGTTCGATTCCCGACATGGGTGCAATGTGTGAAGGCCATTTCTGATGTCCCCCGCCGTGATATTGCTGGAATATTGCTAAAAGCGGCGTAAAACCATACTCACTCACTCACTCACTCACGATGAAAAGATACTATTTCAAATGATATGCAACTGACACTGAGTAATTTTAAGTTGGCATTGGTCGTTGTGCATGGCTGGCTTTTCCTGGTATTTCACTAGTTTCTTGCAGTTTCTCTTTTTTTTCGAGTGATTGATGTTGGTATGGATAATTTTGTATGTTTCAAGGAAATATTGTTGTCAGGGGGGTCATAATATCGAACCAACTTTTTGTACACATATACCCGTAACTCAATACTAATGAAGTCGACGTAAACAATAAAGTGGTTGTTATTCATGAACAAGTGTCACATATTCATCATGTGTCATACTTTGTTTTGACAATACGCGCCGAAAGTTTTTCTTTGGGGATTTCAGTATACCCATGGGCACCATCTATTGATAGACAACATATGGTGCAGGGATATGTCACAATGTCCTATTGGCTGCGTTGAAATGTTATCACTATGATATATCCACAAACAGGGCCGTTCAATTGACTTAATTGAATACTATTGGACATTAATTCCCCTAGGAAAATATGCCGCGAAAAAACGCCACCAATCGCTTTAAAAAAAAAGATTAAAACCAGGTCGGTCGAAACCAAGGCGTTTCAATTGTCCATAAACATCATAACGAGACTCTGGAACACCAAGGGAAAACAATGATCAAGGACCGCTCCATCCACGCTCTTCACATGTGATTGAGTGGCACCACAGCAGGACCACAATATAAAAGGAACAATGTTTCATGCTCAGAATGTTAGATATTATCTAAAGTACATATGACAAAACGTATCAATAGCCGCTAAATGTGGGTATATTAACGCAGGTCATAAACTAAAAGCGTATTCGAGTCATTATGAACACAAACCATAGATGTATATAAATATGGTATTCGGTTCATGTATTTTCTTATTTATGTAATAATCGTAAATGCCGTTCGTATATGGCACGGAGTTTAAAACCCTTGAAATCTAGTATGACCTGTTTTAGGTGTAGGCGTCAGTTTGTAACATCAACATTAGACATGAGGTCATTGGTAACACATATCGTGTTGATCCACATTGCTGTGCACCATTACCACATACAGACCACTGAAGTTTCCTGTGTACACTGCGTATATATTAATCAAGCCTTTTTCGACGCACTGCCTTTGTAGTTTGAGAATGGCTTAGAGCGACTAAGGTTTTTCTTAAGTTGAACTTTTTTATAGTTTCAAATGTCTAAAGGTGCGTTACACATCACTTGTGTGCACGTGTTAAAGAAAATTATTCAAATACATATTAAGGATAAGATATGTGGATGAACGACTTCTTATCACAATTAGGAGCGACGTTTGGGTGTCTTTGAGAAAATGTATCTTGAAGATTGGAAGAAATAAGATGATTCAAATACAAATCCCATACAAAGAAGTATGTGAATGTATACACAAAGAAAAAGGTTAAGCACATCCCTATTTCTAAACCATGACAAGTGACAAAAATCATGGCTTGGGATGACTGACCACAGGGGCTGGGCGATACCAATGTCATCGGATAGAACAAACATTTGACTTGTGATTGAAATTTACTGACAAAAAACATCATGGTAACACTGGTGCTGTTTTTGACCTTAGACAATACCTAAAAAAGGTATGGAGCTGCAGAATTAAGTAAACGAGTTACATTTGATGTTTCATGTGAAAATGTTCCTTAAAGTTTCTATTTGACTTGCAACATGAAACAGATGAGTAGCAGGTATAACCGCCACGTGCCCAGATGACGCATTCCACCCTACGTCTCATGCCTCCAGTCAGACGTTGGATCTGTTGATGGGTCAACAACAACCACGCCTGATGCAATGCTGCTTCCAATTGGCGTAA